GAAATCAAAGTTCGGAAATCAATCCGATTTCCGATTCTCTCTAGTGACTCTTCGATTCAGCGGCTAGAATGCTGGCTGTTTCCGCCCTCTCCCTCAAAAAAACTAGCCGCCGGCCTTTGTTGTGATGTAAGGTTACCTAGACATGCGCCGTTGATTCAGCGGGTAGAATCTGAGCTGTTTTCACCCTCTCCCTCAAAAAAAAATGGCCGCCGGCCTTTGTTGTGATGTAAGATTACCTAGACCCGGCCGAAAGCTGGGTGAGCACGACGACTGCAGCGACACTTCTGGAGAGGAGTCTCAATTCGAGCAACGGGCGGTAGTGGAGGAAGAGTCGTGCGCTGAGCTTTCCGCTAATCCGTGTGATTACTTGCTGATCAACCTCAGGCATTCCGAGGCAGGTAGGCCGAATGCGGCGAGCTCTAGGTTTTCTCACTGCCTTGCATCCCGGAAATGAGGAGCATCCACTCAACTGCTCATTACCGAACTTCATCCCCCTGCGGACTGCGTTTGAACGATATGATCGAATTCGCGAAAGTCGACTTTTTCCGCTGGATCTCGAAATCTAGCCAGAAACTTTTATCCCCCCTCGTCTCCTCGAGCGATTTTTATTGAAGCTCGAGAGTCCCATCCTTCGCTGAGTGCTACCTCCCACTCAATCCTCCGAGCAACCCTCTCCCGAAATCATTGAAGCAACTGCGCTGCGACGGCTTGGAGGAAACGGGGACCTGTCGGATTCGAAATGACGAGCAATGCAGTTGTGGTTTCAATAACTTCCACCATTTGCTGCTGTTGAGTGACTGAGTGATTGAGGTATTCGGAACCCATGGAAAATTGCGGTGCCTAAATTTTCACGTTGTCCGCATCCCAAGCGTCGATTGAATTGTTTGTTTCTGAGAAGTTTTTCTGTTTTGGCTTTTTTGTAGGAGTAGGATCCCGCCAGTGAAAGCTCAGAGAATGAAAACAGAAGGCTTCGAACGGTCTCGATCGCCACCCTCGAGTACAGAAACTATGTCATCGGAAGAAGAATCGTTCATGGTACCCCTTGGAATTCCGCTGCATTCCGCGTCCATTCCGGCGCATCTCTTACCGACTGAAACTCCGCTGAGAAACTTTGTCCCATAGAAGTAGAGACCGCACGAGAGAATCCAAGCCATAAGTCAAATGGTGGATTGAGCTGAGCTTTTGTTTCGCTTTTCGTACCGCGCATGATTCGGAAGCCAGGGAAGGGTTTTGCTCTGCGCTCGCTCGTTCACCTGCCTTGTGCCCGCGCGTATCGACCGAGCGTGTCTGAGAACCGATCAGCGACAGCTAACATCAGGCCTGAGAACAGCCATGTAAATTCGTCGATTTCATTTCTCTTCAGTGGCGTTTTCTGATTCCAGGTAGAACGTATTCTCAGTCACAAGACATCGAAGAAGGGACTCTTCTATTTGGTCAAGTGGCTCGATTACGAACTCGAATATTCTACGTGGGAGCCCGAAGAGAACCTTTTCTGCAAGAATCTTGTCTCAGAATACTGGCTTGATCCTAGGGTAGGTCCCCGACCCCTCGATCCACCCAAGCTGGGTTTTCCCATTCTCCTGGAGTATCTCAGCAGACCTGTTCTGAGAGAAATCAGCGCTCGCAACCAGCTCCAATAAGCGCCCCTCCATGATTACAGCCGAGAGCAAGCCTGAAAAAAATTATTGAGGACGAAATGGCGAAGCAATTCAAAGAAGGAAAGGAGGAAGAAGTCGAGGAATTTTCTCCCGAGGGGGAGTCGTCTGATGATCCTACCTCCGATGAAGTGAGTATCGTGAGCAGGAAGACTTCTATGGCTGTCTCCGAGATTTCCACCTGCCACTACTCAAACACCCCCGCTTTTTTTACGATTCCAGCACGATCACAGGACCGACGGGAGTCCTGTGAAAGCAACGAATCTCGGACGGGAGCCGCGACCGGAATTCGATGTTGTAAGTTGTCGGAGAAGTGAGTTAGATCCGGTACTTTCTCTTCCGTCTTCTGTGGCTATCGCAGTCTAAAGCCGAACATCCGACTTTCAGAGAGCCTTCTTGAAATTGGGCTTCTCCGTGAGTGCCCTGATCGTGATAGTTTTCATTCTCTGGGGCGGGAGCGACCAGTATTACATGAACCAGTTCTACCTGCGTCGATTCAGTGACGACCATGTGAATCATGTGGAGCACTGAACAACGTCAACGACTAAGAAGAGGGAAAACAAGAGTTTTCCGAGATATCGTACAACATGTCTTATAGTATCCAATCCATGTAGCTCCGCATTCCCGGAAGGACGGATGGCTCACGAGCCCATGAATCTTTCTTTGTATCTGGTTTCATCGACATTGTGCATAAACAAATGACATCTGAGGCAGCCGGAAGCGGATGACGACGGGGAAGTCGGAACAAGGAGCTCAGAAAATGATCTCAACAATGAGGATGATTCTTTTCCATCGATGTTCGATAACGATATGTGGAGTCGCGTCCGCCCGGAATATACGAATCTAAATTCAGCAATCCCCGGCCAAGATGTAATCAATGCAGTTTGTGCTTGATCTTTCTCCGGCTTTCGACGACCAAGACGTCGAATGTGTTGCCTGACCGCCTAGGCAAGATGTCCGGTTTCAGCCCTCAGGTGCCTTGAGGGAAGCCTCAGTCTGATCCTTGATAATGATGGTAACGGAATTGAAGTCTCCGCAGAGGAGGAGTCGACATGATCAGAGAGCTGGAAATCTGTCTGATGCTGACGCTCATCTTGAAACGACTGCACAGACACTAACTAATAAAAGTTTTACGGAATCATTCCACTTTGTGAGGGGATCTGACTTGTCGAAAATTTATTCAAATTAATTCTATAATTCTCTCCGTCGGCGGTCCTTGGCTCCTCTTTCCGCGAATTCGAATACTATTTTTCTTATCATACGTTGAGTCTGTCTATGTTGTCATTCATCTGTCCATTCCCCAACAACACCCAGTTCGGCGGAGGAAATGGATGCGGTGCTTCACAGCAGAAGCACCAACACGCATTCTCGAATAATCGTTCGACACGTCCGTACCGAAATTGAAACTAGCGATTCAGCAGTTATCAGGGAACCACCAAACCTGCCAAGTCGAGTCCATCTCTACAGCTCCGACGCTTAAATACAATCACATCCATGTCGAAATGTTCCAGAGAGAAAAATCCTCAGCTCTCCTTCTCGATACGGCGAGCGAGAGCGGGGCTCGGTCGCCATAGACATTCGAGATCATTTCCCAAGGAGCGACCATGATCATAGCAATACTTACTTATATTCATATCACCATTCCGTTCGGCAATGTCCGCTCGCACACGCTGTCAAGCCGCACGGGTCGAGGCAACACTGCGACGACATTAGATCTCACAGTCAGCTCCGTAGACACTCGGAAATAGTTCGTAGAAGTTCTCATCGTCAATATACATACACTTGGACAGGACAACCCCGACGTCTCCGGCAACTACGGCAACGACGCTGACAGCCGCAATGGAAATGACAATGGTTGAGGGGAGTAGGGGCGAAGAATTCTTCGAGAGGCTCAATAATATATTAAAGCGTACGTCATACCGTCATTATTTCATCAACTCGATGAAGTCACGAGGAATTCGATACGATCGTTTATTCAGTTGTTGCTACAGACGCCGTCCCGAAGCGTCGTTGCCGCCGTCGTTTCTGTCGCCGTTCCTTATGCCGCCTGTCCGCCGTCTCTCAGTCGTTTCGCGCACGAATCGCTATTTAAAGTATTACTACGTAGGTATGTATATATATTTAAATATATACTTCTTCACTCAGTCACTGCTCCGCCCGCTGACTCATTCTATTCTACATGCGGGACGATTCAGTCTTTCAGTCGGTGTATTATTTAAAATGTTTACAGGGTACCGCTCCGACGCTGCGCTCTTGCGCCTCGTCAGAGTCATTGTTCGTCTATCACCACCGACGGCTGGGAATACGCTCGGCGCAGCCGCGGCAATGTATGATAGATTCTCGTGTCTCGCACTTCCCCACCGACCTTCTCTTGTTCGGCTCCCCCGGAAAAAGAGAGGAACGATGGTCGCGGTGAACTCAGGTTAGGTACAGCCTATGGTAATCATTGGCTCCGAACGGTGCGTTGCACTTCGGACACTTCCGTTGCCTGGTCTCGTAGCGGGTTTTTAAACAGTCGTAGCAGAATACGTGGTAGCATTTCGACAAGACCGCGTCCTTCTTCTTGACCTGCGAAGAAGAAGAAATATCTCAGGAAATTCGGAGAAGAATGAAAGCTTGGGATATATTATTGCGCCGGAACGTGGCGGATTCTGACCTTGCACGATGGGCACGTAAGGGTTTCTTTGTACTCCCGGATTTCTTCCAGGAGCACTTCATCCGTGTTCGACGCAAGCTCGAACTTCTTCGCACGTTCGAGCTTCCGTTTGAGTGACATGATCTCCTCATGGAGACGCCTGCTCTTGAACGTCTCCTCTCGGTAGGCTCCTGCTTTTTCACTAACAGCGGCTTGGGCTTCCTTCAATTGACCGAGATACTTTTCCAAATGGAGCTTCAGATCGGCTGCGGACTGCGTGGCCTCTAGGGCTTTCCGCTTGTGGAGCTCCATGCATTGCTGCCGGAGCGCGAGTTCTTTCTCGGCAGTGGCGAGCTGAGTTTGCAGCAGACGTTCTTTCTCTTCCAGCCTCCTCACCACCTTGAAAAATGGAGGGGTATTAGCGAGGAAAACGACCTTCTTCTTCTCGTGTCGGCTCCGAGGGAACGGCTTCTCCCTGTGCAACGATTAGCCAAGGAGATGATCGGATCCGGACCAACCTGATTTTGAGCCTCGACCTGGCTATGGAGAGTGCTGACTTGCTCCCCGAGCATGATTTTCTCTTCTTTCTGGAGTTTAATCATTTGATTCGCCTTGATTCGCTCGCTCATCAGCTTGAAATTGGCATCGTCCTACAATAAAGGGAAATGTTGGCTCAGATCGTCGTAATAAATACCTCACGAGCCAGCCCCAACGGCACCGGAGTCGGGGGCGAAACGACATACCTTTTCTTTCAGCTGTTGGATGAAGCGCTGATTCTGTTCATGCATGTCCTCGAAGGCTTGCCCTGTCACGTCCAGGTCCTTCAGAACAGCGTCCTCCTCCTGCTTCTGAGCTGCGAGATTTTGTTTGAGTTTGTTGACCTGTTCCTCGAGCACTCGTATTTTTCTGAGTGCTTCCTCGTCTGCGAGTTTTCGGCGCTCCTTCCGTTCGGCCTCCACCAGCTTCCGAAGTTGCTCCTTCATCTTTTCAACTTCTGCGAGGGCCCTCTTCTCAGCAGCCAACAGGGTTGCCTTGAACGAAATCATGAACGGTCAGCATGGAACGCCGGGAGGAGGGAAGAAGTCGACTCAGACCAAAACACTGAGCCCTGCTCACGGTTGCGCTGTCAGCTCTGAAAACTCCCGTACCTTATCTCTGGTCTCCTTAGGGATCTGTTTGTACGTGTCTAGCAGTACTTTCAATTCCTTCCGTCCATCTTCCGATTGCTTGAGCTGACTCCGGAGCTCGCGAATGATTTCTTCGTCGCTTTTCCCCCGATCGCGTTCCAGTTCCTGGGAATTCGTGTGTCAGTCACTCATCATGGAGCACGGGAGCTCGAGGCCCCCAGCGAGCTGAACGAATATTCCGCTACAGTACCTCCTTGATGGAGGAAGAAAGAGAGAAAGACTCACTTCCATATCTAGCATGATTTCCTCGCCGTCCTCTCGTCTTGAACAATCCGACGAGCCAGGTCCGTCTCTGAAATTCCCTTCTGCAGAGGATGTTGCGACGGAAGGATCCCCCAACGCCAAGTTCTCCGATGATGATGTGACATGATGGTGGCCTGCCGCAATGAAAAAAGAGGAGCATTAGCTTCAATGGAGCCCGGGGCCTCTCCCTGAGTCAGTGTCTTCACAGTTCAGGGAATTCCTCACCTTGAGAATTGAGTTCTGTCTTCAATTGAGCATTTTCTTGAGTGAATTCCTTGACTTTCCGCTTATACCGAAGCGTCTCGCCTGAAAAAGAAATGGAGCTCGATACTGCCACGCGGTCATAAGCGATCGCGAACGTTCCGAAGGCATCGCATCGCGGCCGAGAACTAACCCTTGAGTTGTTTGTTGTGGTTTTGTAAAGTTTCTATGAGATGTCGCATTTCTCGATTCATGGGAGCAATTTGTTCGCTAGCGGTGACTTTCTGTTCGAATTCGATGCGCAGTTTCTCGTACTCTTTGCGGACCTGGAGGGAGGGAGATCCTTTTGCGGAATCGAATATAGAACAAGGGAAGGAATACCGAAGTCGGAATTGCGTTCGCCTCGACGGCGGACTTAGGAAGCTGACCTGAGCTAGAGCGTCCTCAAGACGAATGACCTCCGTGCGGAGCTTCTTCTGCATGGTCAGTTCTTCACTCTCCATCCGTTCGATGGTTCGTTGGTGAGCCTGCTTAGAAGCGATGAGCTGCTGCCTGAAAACGGAAGCGACATGACCTACGATGATCAGAACCAGAACCGGTGACAGCGAAACCACTCTATCAGGAGCAGGCTCCATAGACGAACCCTTCCTAGAGGCATCGATCGCGATCAGACCCGAGCCACTGACCTGTGCTCCTCGAGCTGAGTCTGCAGCTGCATGCTCTCATTGTAAAGAACACTGTATTGACTCTGCAAACATTTGTACTCCGCAGTCTCGATAACCACACGCTCGGGAAGGCACTGAATGTCCATTTTCAGTCTCTCGATCGTCCTCAAGGAATCTTTGTGGTCCTCGTTCAACTGTTCGAGTTCCTGCAGTCGGCCCTGGAAGTTGAACGGATGCGTGAGAGAACCCGATCCCCCTCACAAGACGCGTATTCAGTCTTAGCGGGGTGAATCAAGCCGCCAGACGACGGAGAAATCGCTTGCTCAAACTAACGACACTCACCTGGGCCAGCTCCTTCTGTTCTTCGACGAGAGACTGCAGTTCCTCGACTCGCACATTCGAAACACACGAAGCTTCTGCGGGCACAGAGGCGTCTTTTGTACAGTCGGCGTTCTTCGCCGTTTTCGCAGCGTCCGAACTGAACGCCAAGGGTTGTGCGTTTTTCAAGCGTTGCAGACATTCTGCCAGATTCGAGTCGAGCTTTTCACACCGGGCCCAGCTCTTCTGCAACTCGTACTCGAGCTCCTCGATCTTGTTGTTGAATTCGTCATTCTTTGTCTTGAGAGAGTCCATTTTATCTTGGAGGGCGGTACACCGGAGCTGTGCGCAATGATCTTTTTCGCTAAGTTTCGTGACCAGAGCTTGCAGGCGCTGGTTCTCTTCGGTGAGTTCCTTGTTGAGACTCTTGACTGCGCTATCTAAATCGGGCGTCGCATCGGTCTCGCCGTTCACAGCCTGCATGATCTGCAACGAAAATCCAAGATTGCGAGGTTGCGCGAATAAAAAAAAGGCCTCCTCGCACGCGCCGACCTGAGCCGTTGTGGTTTCAAAGAGGCTCACCTTCAAATTCCGTTGCATGAGTCGATCGAACACTTGCAGAAGCTTGGAAACTGCTCTCATGGAGACCTAGAGGTGGAAGCGAGAATCAAGAGATGTACTCCAGGAGCCGCAGGAGACTCCACGCTCCACGCGAGGATAAGCTGGTGTCTAACAAGCCGAAGAGAAGACTCACCTGGACTCTCTGACCGAGACGCTCCTCCAACTCCTCCTTGTCCCATTGCGCGAGGGCTGTCACGAAGGATGTGATTGCCTCGTTTTCATTCTCCTTCTCCGATTCGTCGGTGGTCTCCGCGTCGAACCTGTGGACGAACCATCGGATAATCACGAAAGCTCTCCGGAGCCCGGGAACAAGCTCATGCATTAGGGTGTTCGGGAACTCACCTCTGAAGCAGTAACCTCAACTCTTCGTTGAATTGATTCCAATATCTGCAAAAAAAAAGGAATTCAAACTTCGTCGCTGTAGGCCGACGGTAATCGCGTCATGAGCGAGATCTTCTCGTACTTCTCGCAGACATCACAGCGGTGCTCACCTATTAATAGTGGTGATTACGTTCTCGTCACTTTGTTGGCGTTTCTCGAGCTGTTCGATTCGAGATCGGAGCTCCTGCTCGTGACGGAGCCGCTGTTCCAACCTGGAAAACGGGGAGCACGATGAATAAGAAGAAAATCGTAGGAGGATTCCAACGAGCGATTTCTTACATGTCGAAGGGCGGGGAAATTCTCTCCACAAGTTCGACCTACCTCTGAGCGAGTTTCCTGTTTTGGAATTGGAGAGTTCTTGTGTCCAAATCCTCGAGATTCGAAACCGCTCCGATTCGGAATGGCTCGAAGTGAACCTTTTTTGCTGGTGGACCCTCCATCGGAGAGGTCCTCTTGGCCATAGTAAGGTGCACTGCAAGGAGACGAGATCTCGATGACTTTCGATATACCTGGTACTCACAAACGCTCCGAAATTCAATTCCGACTCGGAAAAGCATTGCACATCCCGCGGAAGGTTTCGTCTTCTGCGCGCAGGATCCGGCTCCCTAAGCAACTGTTCGCTGACAGCTCCCGGGAAGCCGAGGAGACGATTCCGTACGAACACGTTCGAGAGCTCTCTACACGCGATCGAGCAGCCCGAAAGATTGCACCAAAATGAGAAGCGTACATTCGATGAACCAGAGGGATTTTTTTGAGCGTGCTGCGGGGAGGAGCCCGAGAATATTGGCTCTGATCCGTCGATGACAGATCATGAGTTCTATTGACGTCTCTCATCTGGAGCGGGTGTCGCGCATCGAACTTCTCCAGAAACTTTCTCGCGGAGTGAGCTGAGCTCATGTATCCTTGACCGAAGAGCCAGTGACCAAGGGAGGAAGTCAGACTCCTCTGGCTTCATTGGGAACAGTTTGGGGAGAAGTCGAAGACCGTCTGACATGACTATGGGCCAGCCGCCTCCTCGGTGTGAGCCTGGCTCAATATCGCCGCGGACTCTGTCAACGTTCCTTGACGCAGAAGACTCCCCGAGTCCCGAAGACTCCCGGATAGGTGCGATCTCAAGGAATTCTCAGTAGACCGATCTCTCGGAGAGATTTTGTTCATGAAAACTGCAAAGCCTGGGAACGGGAGGCTTCTCGGAGGAAAATCCGCAGCTCCGCGAAACGGAGATCGTCTTCTCCGACCAAGTATCACCGGAACCCTCTCAATGCAATTGAAGTTCCCCCGGAACTACTTCAATTCCGCAGGAAAACCGTTGAAGGAGCCCGAATCTCGACGGACCAATTAGTCCCAGTGCGAGCCGTGGATCAGCTCGAAATGCAGCCGAATGGGGCAGCTCGACGGTCATGATAAGCCAATATTCGATCAGTCGCATATCGAGCTGGCCAACGCTGAGCCGGAAAGCGACTGAAGGGGCAGAAAAGCACCGATTCTGCAAAGCGTCGTCAGCCGAGGCTCGAATCGGGCGTGGATGCCGGCTTGAGCTGCGAAGCGTTTTGAAGTTGCTCCAGGTAACGCCGATTCGTCGATCGGCAACCTACCTGCGTGTTGGAAGCGTGCTCCAACCGCACGAAATCGGGATTTCAGGCTTTTCCGCAACTCCTGAAACCGAGCCTTGTTATGATATTCCTGTTGTGTGTATTCCGTCCGTCGTCAGTGAGTGAGCCAACGCCAACAAAACAACCCACATCCAGACAGACACAAGAGGAGGAGAGCGATTTTGTGCGGGGACGAGGGCGGCCTCGTCTGCTATCATGCCATGGAACGAGATGATGATGACAACATCAGAACGCTGAGAGTCGATTCCTCAGCATTTGTGCTGAACGCATCCAGCCCGACTGATTTTCCATCGAACAATTTGGTTCGCCAGTCAGCTCCGCGTGGATGAATGTTTTCACATCATCATCACAGAGCTGCGACTCGACGCGAAGACTTATCGACTAGTTAAGGACCTCCTGCTGGCGGGCGCGTTGCTTTCTCCCTATCCGCTGCTTGCTGGAACGACAGCTGACCAAGCTGCCGAGGAGTCCGGAAAGTCCTTCGAATCGTCTAGCGTCCGTATTCTTCGGCACACGCTGCCGACTACCCGCGGGGAACGCCAGATAGGCGTTGAGGGAGAATTCCGGAGTGAAATCGGTCCATGAGCAGCCGTTGAGAAGTATTTGCCGGACGCTGGTAATCACGTCTCTCGATTTGGCCTCATGTGAAGAATGGGACTTGCATCTTCTCGGGCCGGAAAGTTGCCTGAGGACGACGGATGGAGCTTTTTCATCGATCTCACCCTGCGCCCATGGGATACGCCGTGTCTCTTGGTCGATCTGTGTGCATGAGCTCACGCAGCGCCCACGAGTGACTTCTTTGTTCAAGTCTCCGAGGTTCGGGGTTTGGGTGAGTACTTGCAGGAGGATGAGGGGGAAGGAGGCCGACCTCAGGGACGAAGACGTGATCCCGGAATGTATCTGCTGCGCCCGGTTGTTCCCACCGGAGAACGAGCTTCGGAGCGGTTCTTTGTCCGGCTGGGCGAATCATCAATCCATATCCTCAATCACGACGAGAGACCTGAGATCTTGAGGGTGTACAGAGGAGAGGCACTCGAGGGTTCCTATCTCTTGCCGGCCTTCGGTGACCGTGGCTCGGAAGTTCCAGAAACCGATCAGAACTCAGAATCGAGAGGGACTAACATCTTCCATTTTTCGATGGTACCACAATTTTTTTTGTTCTGGTTTTGTTCCGTACCGATGAGTTTCGGCGGATGCCCATGATGGGGCCCGGGAAACAAGCGTGGAAGAGCGGCGGGATCCCCCTCTGAAGACGGATCCCGAATCAGATTCGCCTCCCCAGGACCAGGATTCTTGAGAAGGATTCGTGTCTCCTTCTCCACAGAAGTCGTTTCCTCTCATTTTCAGCAATCTCAACACACAAAGTTTTCCCGGGAAAAGATCTACCCTTGACACTGAGGCCTCTCATGAGTTCCGGAGCTATCGCAACGAGGACTACTTCGCTCCAGGCGAGATCCTAGCTCCTCGATCTCAGCTATACTGCATTTCACATGCAAGTACACAGAGCAAGGCCGTTCCTCTCGGGACTATCCATATCGAGTCGGAAAACTCATCAACTCGGGATTCAGCGAGTCTGATATCGCGGAAGGATAACGGTGGGCGGTCGTTACTCCTTCCCACCCGTACACGGATCGGGAGAGTTGGGATTCTCGGGGGAAGATCCTCGCTCCCGCAGGCGCTGAAAGAGGCGAGCGTTATCCGTCTCACATGAGAGAGCGGTCGACGATGAAAGATCACATGGAAGAACATGACATACGTAATATGCCCGGACGGCGAAGTCAAGAATTTCGAAAACCTGGACTTTCTGGGCGTCTAGGCTCTGGGGCCTTGCCTCCGGAGTCGTTCTTGAGATCAGACATCTTGGAGGCGGCGAAGAGCCCGCGCTGAAGTTCCACTCCAAGTCCCTCTGCGAGCATGAAGAAGTTCCCCTGAGCTCCCCAAACCGGAAGCGGGGCCGCTACCCGACACGGGACCGACTTACCGTCGGACTCTAATTATCATTCAGTACTGCCGACCAATCTGATTCAGTAAAGCAAATGTTGAGTACGAAAATCTCGACGATATCCTGAGGCGCACCGCCCCCCTACCTCCCTCACCCTCCCTTTCACCTCCCGCGACTTGCTGTGCGTAACAAGGGAATCGAACCTGATATTGAATTGGCTTGTGCTCTTCCCTTTCCCTAGCGGCAAAACCCGACGATGATTGATATTCTTCACATACCCTCTGAGATTTTTGGCACATCCGCAAGTCAACATCAGTGCGAATCGTTTAAAATCTTAAATGTCCATCACAATACGTAAAAGAGGTCGAAAGAGGGAGAATTATTGCCAAAATCTGATGACTGTGTTCTTTTTTATTTCTATTTCGAAGTGTATCCGCTTATCAAGTGCCAGACAGAAACTTATAACTTAGCCCACTCGATGAACTCGAGTCGACCTGTCGATATGCTTCATGGTTGTCATCTCCAACTTCCAGAAAATATTATAAAAATCCGAGACTGGAATGTTGCGTGTATTGCAGCGTCATCACGTTCACCGCACGCTCAGCGGTCGTCCGACCGCTTCCGTACTGTGTTTCTCGTTCTCCTGTCCAGGTTCAGAAATCCTTGTTCCTGGACAGTTTTTGCTCTAGGAAGAGCGACAAGTCATTCGTCGTTGGACGCACCTTCTGTCCAATAGTACAAGGCAAGTCTATAGCGTACCGAAAACTTGCGGTACGTTCTGATATATTGTCGATGGAAAAATTATCAGAAGATAAATTGATAGTTGGGTAAAACCTAATCAAAGTTTCGATCGAATCATTCAGATGACCGCGTGGAATTTGTGCGTTGACGAATTTAGAAGACATTTCCACACGGTTGTTCCTCGCGCTACCATTCTCTCGCGTATTGATCACCACGACTCCGAACGAGAAAACGAGAATAAAATCTAAACAGGGGACTAATATGATCTTCCCGCTCGATAGAGTTGATGTGAACGATAATAATGCTATCAATGATGTCGTTTAGAGGAGCACAATGGGAGCGGACCGCCCGAGATGGGCGGATTCAGGAGTGGAAATTACCGAGCTTCGAAAGAAATCGATTCCGCTGCCTCCGCTGCGATCAGTGACGCTCGGCAGTTGCTATATTCTATTTCGAGTCAGTGTCGTTCAGACTAGGAAGCACCGGGGTGTCAAGCACAAGTTCCTTCGCCAGTTTCCCAGAATTACCTCTTCGAAACCCATGCGGGAAGCGCCACTCGGATCTCTGAAATGATGATTGCCTTTGTTTTACACGGTGCCTTCACATGGGTTCTACTCCGAGACGGGGCATGCAGACAGAAGTCCCCGCTTGTCGACGCTGACTGTCGCGGGAGGGTTGCCGGAGTTCGAAAGAGGGGCCATGTTCACCACCGAGCGATTGTGTCGCATATGCGATTTCACAAGGTCTCTGGCTGCCAGAGCCGATAACAGGGAGAGTTCCCCGGCCACCACAGCACCGCAAACAACCTTGGCGAGAGTTCTGGCGTTCTCTCCTGGCTCGTCCGTGCTCGCCCCTTTCACGCCGAGGAGCTCCAACATGGACTCTTGCGGGGGTAGCACCGTGCCACCGCCCACCGTGCCGACCTCTATCGATGGCATGGTGCACTGTATGTGAATATCTTCGTTGTTGACGCCGCAGCGCTCGATCACGGTGATGCAATTTGAACTTTCGACGTTTTGAGCCGGGTCTTGACCGGTGGCGATGAAGATTGCGGTCACGATATTCGCTGCCTGTGGATCGGAAATAGAGAAAAAGTCAGGAATCGGGATTTCACTGGAAGTGACTCAATACGAAGGATCCCGAGGGGTTTTCGAACAGTTTGCAGATTTGAAAATTAAAAAAAAATCATTCGCGAATCCAGGGTGTACACCGTACTTCGCGACGTACCTGAGCGTTGAAGCCCCCGATTGATCCAGCCATGGCAGAACCGATGAGGTTTTTGCTCAAGTTCACTTCGACCAAGTCAGACGCACTCGTTTTCAGAACATCTCGGACAACGTGCGCGGGGATCGTGGCTTCGCAACTGACGCTCTTCCCGCGTCCCTCGATCCAGTTCATTGCCGACGGCTTCTTGTCCGTGCAGAAGTTACCAGAAACAGCAATCACTGCCATTTTCGGGAATATTTTTTGTAGGTGACTGATGGCGACATCGGTGCCCTTGGACAACATGTTCATGCCCATGGCGTCTCCGGTCGTGGATACGAATCGGATGAACAGACGTACGCCCGTCAATTGACAGTGGATGTATTTCAATCTGGCATAACGAGACGTGCTGTCAAAGGCTTCCTTGATTTCGGCAAAATTCTCCGGTTTTTCCAACCAAAGCTTAACCTGTTGAGCTTCCGCTACGGTAGGCAGTTTCACCACGGGGCCACGGGTCATACCATCGCCCGTGATCGTCGAATACGCTCCTCCGGCTCTCGCGATGGCTCGACAGCCACGATTCGTTGAAGCTATCAGACAACCTTCCGTCGTAGACATAGGTACGTGAAAGGATCGGCCATCCAAAATGAGCGGACCGGCGATGCCAACGGGAACGGGCATGTAACCTACAATATGAACGATCGGGTGAGAAAGCTGTCGCCAAGAGTTGGTACTTCGTCAGATGGGATCCTCCGCGAAAGTTGGAGGCCCGCGAAACGGTGTCAATCGGTGGACTCCACACCGGGATCAGGGGGAGGCACTCACCGATCACGTTCTCACAACAAGCACCGAAAACCTTCTCGTAGTCGTAATGACGGTACGGCAGTTTATCCAGTGCGGATCCGATTCCAGCTTCTCTCGCTATCATGTAACGCCGAATAGCCACTCCTCGAACGTGATCGTCCAGCACGTTCTCGAGCTTGTACAGCTGAATCTCCTTCTTGTCCAGAAGCATGATAACCTTGAATGCAATGGCGCAATTCGTAAATATCCATACCGCACACAGGCGGATCTCGGGCATTTTCAACGCGCTACCTGGATCCCCGGGTCGAGATGAAGCCACTGTTGAGTCAGATATTGGATTCTCTGAATACTCACTTCTTCATCGGTGAGTTCGCGTGGTCCTTTTTCCGCATCTGCGAGGAGCTCCAGACACTCGGGAACTCCTCGGCAGGGCCTCTCAGCTTGTGTTTCTCTCGGATTCGAGCCAGAGTTCGTCTCCTGTGCATCTCTGAAAGTCGAAATGTTCGAGTGAGACAGACCGCAAAATCAGTTACGCGATCCTGCACGCCCCTTTGGCGCGATGCGATTTTGCATGTTTCAGTTATTGGAGGCGGGGCTTGGAATGTGGAACGGGAATACGTCAGAATTCGGGGAGAGCGGAGTACATGCCCGGCGACCAGCGGAACTTGCGCGGAAAAAGTGTTTTCAGAACGAATTCGCATGCTGGAATTCTCTCGAGAGTCTGCCGCGGAGCGCGGGGATTCCCCAGATAGCGAAATCCGCGGCGGAAACTTCGTTCGGACAGTCGATTACGTTGGCTTTGCGCGTCTCAGAGTTTTGTTCATGGCGCCTCGCAAATGAGGCAGAGCGGATCGTATTCCCTCACCTGTGCGAGATGAACGGCAAGTCGGTTTGAACCGTTTTGTCCGCACGATCGAATTCACCGTCTCCAATCATAAATGGGGATATCTTTCTTTCGTCCAGGTCGGATGATACTCGCCGAACGTTCTCACGGTATTCTCGTGTCGGAACGACCTCGCACTGAGGAATCGCTCTCCCAGTTCTGTTGTCGCTCCCTGCGAACGGAAATCCGGGCGTGACATCCTCCGCGGGATCGTGATCTGAACATTTGGAAATCGATTTAATGCTCGCTCACTAGCCATGCAGTCCTTCCAGGGGGGTTTCCAAGTGACTAATTGAGTTGACAGCATATGCCTCCAAAAAAAAACTATCGAACCTTCAATGAGATCTTTCGCTGCCGCCGAGAGTTGTTGTTTGAGTTGCGCTCGTCTCTCGAAGAAGAGATACTTGACAGCGATGGCTAGAGCAACGCCCAAGATGACCACCTGCTCGATGCTGAGCCACCACCAGCTCGCTGGACCACCCGTGCCAGTCATCTGTTCATACAATCTGGAAGAAGAGGGAATTCATCCCGACGGTGAGATTGTTTTCTGATGAATGGATAGATCTCTCTCTCCTGGCCGAACGATCCAACCGTTTTCGCTCGGGCACTCCGAATATTAAGCGTCTCGCATTGTTGCTCTCAAGAACCGAAAGAATCACCGAACCTGGGCATAGCTTCGGATGTGTCGGCTGCGGGCAGCGTCGGAGATTCCGGCGTTGCAGGACTCGCTCCTGAGCTGGACGCAGAAAATGATTGAGCACTTTGATTGGAGCCCGTGGAAGCGATGCTTTTTGGAGATGCACAGCGATTCAGAGGCCACCGGTTGTGCGCATGAACCAACATCAAACCCGCACTCTGTGGAGCGAAAAAAAAACGACTTTGAATCGAGACTCAGATTCCCAATGCGCGAGCGAAGCACGCAGAGCTGGTGTCTCGGTCGTCAAGTTCAATGATGAAAAAATCCGTAGATTCGACGCAGGGAGCACACTTTCAGCCGAAGTTTGGCAGTGAGAAACCCGAGGGAATGAGCACTCGACGGGACCCTTATTCAGAGTCACCAGACCAAGGGAGGGAAGGTCTCCAATGATTTTAATGTCATTGCCTCTTCCTGTAGCTTCCCTGTCCAGCTCGCGTCATTTCTGACGACGCTTCTCGGTGTATGTCATTTTCTTTCCTCGACGCGGGATAGCCAAACCTGTTGGTGATGAGCAAAACGAACATCTCCCAAAGCCCACCGCAGCGACAATGCCCGTCCCTCCCGACGATCAGGGACGGAAGGTCACCAGTCGACAAAAATATGAGACGTAATCGCTCGTTATGATCTCCTCCCATCGAGGACTCGGAAGCTACTTTTACGGGCTCGCGCATCTGGGCTCTCGGAATACTAACTCTATTTGGCGACCTCACAGACTGATGAATTTGAGCTTGGAGCAAGCCTTCGAAAAATGGAAATCAAGTTGAATACGGGGAAATTGCTTAGGCGGGAAGCCTACCGAGCGAGGGAGTTTTCTGGGAAATGCGGTGAATTCGCTCGGCTCGAGTCGTCACTCATCGAATTAGCTCGCTAAGCGAAAACGCCTCTGAGGATGTCACAGTATTTGCCGGATGATATCTGATTTTGGGGTTATAGACACGCGTCTGACGTCGACGAGGGACGAGGTTTTTCTCTCTCGACGCTCGTCTGGGACAATGTATGTACTGCGAGTCACTATTTCCGCGTGATCGCTTTCCTCCTTCTGGGGCTTCTCGCTTTGAGCTCGTAAGTTTTTCCTGCTAGCGTCATCATCAAGAGCGTCGGTCCTCCGCAGGCTAGCATCGAGGTGCATGCACGGGATTTATTCGGAATAGTCCAAAGACTCCTCGTAGGTTAATCCACCTAGCCGTGCTGAGGGGATCGAAGACGAACCCTGACAGGGATTCTACACTCACCATGATGACTTTCACCCGTTCTAAAACAGGATTCGGTTCGTCTTCTTGGCTGGCTGCTGGATTCTGGTCTGATTCCATGCGAGTCACCTGTGAATCAACATGATCTCCAGATTGGCTCATCTCTAGATGGTTTATCGAATGCAGCAAGAGACGAGCCGGCTGAGAGTTACTGACCTCGAAGATGAGAGCAAGAAGCGCCGGGTAGAAAGTCAGAAAAACAACATATGTAACAATCGACGATAGGACCACGTAAGTAGCCAGACTTTCTAATCGCGAGACTCCTGACGTGGTTCCGATTTCTATCACTAGGGTTTTGACCACGGTATCTAGAGTGAGACCGGGTCCCATCATGGCCAAGCCGGATGCAATCGCTGAGCAAATCCCATCCTGAGATGCGGACTTGAACGTCTGCTGTGCGAGGTTGACCGCCTTGTTCATGTCGACCATGATCAGGAATAGCGGGAAAGCATCTCTGCAAGGTACGTATTTATTCAATGATTCGATCAAGATCAACCGAAGAAGCGAAATAGGGTTCCCTGCCCTCGCCACACTCTTGATGACCGGGAGAGGACACGGTGTCGTGTAAAACTCACTTGATTTGTGAGAGCGTTTGCCCGAACAAACAAAGTAGACATCCGATAAAAATTATGCCGGCAAAAAGCGCGTACGCCAACGATACAGCGATAACGAGTCGACTCCCATTTTGATACACATGCTTGAACTGATGCGATGCATTCAACATCGCCGCTAGCACCACCAGGACATGCATTTCGGATCCTGCAAGTAATTGCGGGAATTTCTTAGCTCCGTGCCTAGACCGCCAGCGGTCCATGGCAAAGACGTCTAAAACTATTCTTCGATTGAAAGACTCGAGCTCAGGGTCAGAATTAGTATAAATATCTCCTGGGCATTCTTTCGTAGCTGGCTGAGATTATTCTCTGAGCATATGCTTATCGATATCTTCTTGTTCATAGTACGATACCTTGATATCCTGGAGTGTTTTGTAGAGCGCCGGGATAGCCGATATTGAAAGCCGTAATGCCCAGAGTAAGCATAAGAGTGAGCGCGGCTACAATGACCTCCCATGGATGGGATGACACGAAGTAGCCGTGTTGGTAGAACATGACGTTCAGGACTTTCATCTCGAGGATCGGTTCGCTCAATCTATTCCGGGGATGAGGTCACGGATGCTCTCGGGGAGGCAGGTGTTCTCGCAGACCTTGATTTTGAGAACTGGAAGATAGACATTCTCCATTGAGCTCGTTGAGGATCTCGACAACATGAATACGGAGCTCGCTTTTGAAGGGGGCTCCTTTCCCGGCGAACAAAAAAGAAAGAGTCTTGACGATCGAAGTCCCGCTGTCGGACAACATCTTTCCGGTGCTTAAACCAAATCTTCCGTTCTCTCCCTAATCGCCAGGCACACTCTGATACCCGAGAACACTCCATAAGACCGGCACCTTGCGGAAGCTTGAGAATGTAGACGGGCATCTTCGGTATACGGACACTCTCGCACAGACGGACATTCCAGTACATTGGGAACGATGGGAAGGCTAACAAGCCGGAACTCATTGGAAGGAGATGAGCACTCTCCTATCCACAGACATGCTCGGGAAGCCCGAGGAATGGACGGGCATGCCTCATTCTGAGGGAGAACGAGGTATGAAGCACATTTCATCATCAGCCTACCGATGGTGAGTTCCGACGAAGTGTATACCTGAGCTGTCTGAGATCATTCACACCGGTTATCGTAGTCTGATACGATCACATTATCGAGCCGCACCGAATGACCTGACGACATCTTCACGGAATGGTAAGCGATTTGTTTACGAAAGGCATCGCCTCATCCACGAAACCACTCGCGCTTGATCCATCTCGCATCACCGCAATTCGGAATAATGACTCAATGAACCGAGGTGTGCCGAGATATGTACGTGAGCCGCTCGCGGATGGAGGAACAAGAGCAGCACCAGCGACTCAATTTGACAGATCGTACCACAAGAGAGGCGGCTCGGATGGCGAGACGAAAATATGTATGGTGTTCCCGAGCTGAAGGACTTGGTTTTTCGCCCCAAGCGAAAACCTTTTCAGGACACAGCCCCAGGATCGAAACGCGCAAGCTCCAATTCCGCGGCAGGGGAGCGAGAAAGACTCTCATTCATCCTGAATTCTGGGTAAGTTCTTCAACGATTCTCAGCTCCTGTCACGAGCTCGGCATCCACGAGCGAACCTCGTAAGATATCGAGAGGGTTCGCCGAGCTCGGAGCCCCACCAAAACGGAGTTCCAGCAAGGATAAGCCGCTGAACCCCTCCCATATGTATCCGTGGATCCAACGGGTCTCCGCCGACCGATCTACCGAACTATCGAAAGAGAGAACCGCGCAGGATCCCTCATCGAGATGGGATTGAAGAAAGCCGAACTCTCTCCACATGCCGTATCGCCGAAAGGAGTCGCAGTGGGAAATGCGACATTCGCAGACGCATACTGAGAAGTGAATGAAGAAAGAGGACGGACCGTCGGCCTCGCCGGCCCTTTATTCCCCGTAGACGTCGAGTGTTTGCCGTGTATCAACAGATGATTACAGCTCAACAGTGAGATGTGTTACCACACGTTTTTTTACGGTTTGAATCCACGAAAAGCCATCGCGAGTGACCAACATCACTGATGAGTATATACAGTCGGCGGGTATAGGAATCACGCTTCACCCTTCACCTCTGTGGTTGCGTCTCCTACGGTAAAACCGTATGTTTACGATACTATGGTGGTGACGTCGACTTGTCCTGACCTCCCCTCTCACAATATTCCGTAACCCCCTCGAAGACACAAATCGAATGAGGAAATTTTCAACGATCGTTCGATCAAGTAGCGTCATGATTGCTCCTTTCCCCGGGAAGAAACAAATCCTCGAAAATTTTCGCTCTCAAGCGAGCTCCGGCACTCTGGGCGTTGCGATCATATTGTTCTTGTCGTTGTTGTTCTTCTCGTCGATTGCATCTAAGGCTGCCGCTCCGAATGTAGCGATGGCAGCTATCGTATCGACGGAAACTTCGGTGACCGGAGTTCTCATCACGATTCGTAAACGCACGTCAGATAATCTTCCTGTCTGGAACGAGCGCCGGAACAGATAGTGTCTGAGGCGCGAGCGGTCCGAACAGTTCAAAGCGTTGCAAGCGCACCGAGCTGATCGACGCTTCCGACTGTGTTTGCTGTATGGAAAGCCCACTTATCGGCTTCGGAAAACGTGAAGATTTCTCATGTTTGTCCATACAATCGTCTTCGAGGATTTATGCTGGAGGGAGAAGAGCTTTGAGGGTCTTCGACAGTGACCCCGAAGCGATCCGAAGGCCTTTCCTTGTCCTTCCACATACGTCGAGCCTCGCGATCCCCATGTAACCTCCCGAACGCGCGGCTGCCTCGACTGTCCGAACTTGATGTCTGAGCTCAGGTAGAAACACCACATGGGGCGCGGGACGTATTCTTCCTCATAACAACGGGTCTATTCATGATCGACCCGGCAGGCTGTACTCTGTTAATTAGTGTCGGTTCAGCCGCGGGTGGGTTTGAACATTTTCGCGGAACTCCCAGAGGTTGTAATCTTTGCGGTTAGGCGAGATATCAAGGAGCGCTCAAGACCTTGTAAGTCCCTGGACGCAATGACGCAATACTACGGCGGCTCACTCGAGTGTGGCGGGCACGGTGGTGGCCGTGACTCACATATGCTTTAGCCTACGTGAGTCCATCTCGTAGGACCCACAAGAACGGTCCCTTGTTGATGGCTCGGGCCTTTTTTCACGGCCGAAAGAGGCGATGGAGTTGACATCGATGACCCGCTCCCCGGAAAACTCGCAATACACGGCGAAACCGCGTTTTATTTCATCAAAGAGCCGCCGACGCTAACCGACGACGCGAATATCCGATTTCAGAATAGGCAGCGGAATGTTTCGCTTTGTGCAATCGGAGTTCACAAGACAGCGCCGGCGAAAATGTCGTCATTATTCAAACTCCGAGGAGAATCGTAAACGGACAGCACGCATGCCGCGCTGCTCGCGCCCCACTTCCCAGCTTTCGACGATCGATCCATCGGCGAGAAGTCGAAAAAGCGTCGATCGGAAGAAGCTACAAGCTCGGAAATTGATATCCGCGCCCAGCGGGATCCGAACCGCTCGCAGTCTCATCACCGCCCAAGTCTGGGAGTCTTACACTGGGTGCTAATGAGTGAGTACTCAGTCAGTCAGATAGACCGTCGGAGGACGGAGAGCGGCATGCGGAGCTAGACGGTCAGCCAGACAGCGGACGCAGCATAGGTCAGCACCCTCGGGCAGGAGGGGGACAGGCGGGGGATATGCCCAGAATTCACCGCGTAATGCGAGCAGACGGGCGAACATCAACGAGAGTGGAGAGCTCCGAAGCAAGCACGGGAGAAAAATCGTGAACAACGAAATGGCTGGAAAATAATTCCGCCGGAGGAAACCGTGGAGAAAAGATGACACAGATTCCTCACGGATGAGCGAATGGACGGGAAAACTTGGTCGGAATCGTTAGAGCATCGGTCGTTCATGCAGCCGTCTATCGGGGTTTTCGTTCCACGATCACTCGATGGCGATTCCAAGAGCTGCCATAGCTTGGAATATCATCAGCTGACAGCGGAGAATGTCTCGTAGCCCAAGGGTCTTATTCTCCGTCCAAGTGACAATGGGTCTGGAAACGTCGGATGCCGCACTCGTCTCCACGAAATCCGACCGTCGGGCCCCCAAGTGCCTAGAGCGCGCTATTCTCTGAGACTCCCCTCATCTCTCACTCTTACACTCACCTCCACGTTCCTCTCAGTGAAGTCGGCTGATCGCGGAGGAGACTTTGGAGGAGATCCAGTGGTCGTCACATTATCCGTTGTCGCAGCAACTGATCACTAGAACTCATCGTGGAGGATCTGATCGTCGTCGTTCCGGTGCGGAGCGGATATAGCGTGTGGAGGAAAATAATTTCGAGCAGCGGCAATGTGTTCGACACTGAGTCGACTTCACGAGGACTCCTCTAGTGTGCTGCTGCTGCTGCTGCTGCCACTACTACTGCAACTCAATGATGTCGGGTCTCTCCCCTCCCTCTCTGCGCTGCTGCTGTGGTGAGTTCTGTGGTGTTTGGTCTTTAGTGGGAGCAGCGGTGTCTGCAGCGGGGGGCTGGCCGCTTGGCTGGTTAGCCCCGTTCACTAACTGGAAGTCAGACCTGTCTCCCTATTGTTGTTGTTGGCCGTCGTCGTTGCCGTCGTCGATGTTCAGAGTACTTGTTCCGCCGTGTACGTCCTCTAGCAGACTCTAGCGGACCGAGGCAGAGTTCGGCTCCCGCGGGCACTCTCAACACGCTCGAGCTCGGTGTTTCACTTTCTCACCGTCCTCTCCTACTTTTGCTCTCGACCGTCGACGTAACACGTGTGCTGCTGCAGGTGGAGCACCGAGAAGAGACTCACAGCCCGATGGGGTTCTCGAGATCCGGAACGTGCTCCTCGTCTAGCAGTATCGCGAGAGGATAGATGACGGCTCGTAGTCCGCGTAAACATTCACACACACAAACGTAGTCGAACGTAGCACCAACACCGGGGCCGTGGAGGAACACCGACACAGCCGTGGAGCTGTGTCGTGAAAGGGCTCTTGGATGCAGGTCACCAGGGAACAAGAATTCGGTCAACGCACCACCACCGCCACCACTACCAGTAGTCGTAGTAGCAGCAGCAGCAGCAGCTGAAGCAACACCCGACTTCCAGCTGATGCTGACGGCCCGTCCAGATGATGCCGTCAGATGTGTCCAGTGCAGCTCCGATGGCCCTTCTCTTTCAGTGAGAAGACCCTCGAGCGAGGCTGGTTTGAGTGTGACCACAACAGCAGCGGCTACTGTCTCTCACTCTTACTTTCTTCGGTTCTTTCCTCTTCTGCAGTCGCTTCAGTTTCCTGTTGGTCGGGTGCGGTGCTCGAATCCAGCCTTTGGAAGAGAACGAGGAGGATGCGCGGTCAGGTGGGAGGAAGGAAACAACGAAAAAAACAGGTCGCTCCTTCGGAGAACGGTTTCAGTGCGCAAACCGCTGCTGCTGAGACATGCGACCTTCGTTGCAGTTCCGGGGATGGATCCTGGTTCGTCACCAAATACGATCGGAACCGGTGAAACCCGGGGAAAGGGGCCAAGCGTGTCCACCGAAGAGGGTAAGGAGGAGATTCTGCCGCTTACCAAGCATAAGAGGCTAGTAGTAACTAACTCACCGAGCTCCCGGGCCGGATTCCTTCCGTTGGCAAGGGAGTTTCCAGTCAGTCAGTCAGTCGGTCCGTCCGTCCGTCCGTCCATCCATCCGTCCGGCGATCCTCCGGCCGTTCGGTCGGTCGATCCTTCAGTCGGATGGTCGGTCGTTCGTTCGGTTCGTTGTCCTGACCAATAGCAAAATCGAGAGGCTGAGTCAGTGCCCCGTTTTTTCGCCGATCGGCAACGACCGCTACGGAAAAGGCTTTTCGCAAACGTTGACAAAGCATTGATCCTATTGTGTGAGGAAATGGGAAGGGAGAGCGTATGCGACCGTGTATTTTGAATTTTCGTATCGAACGTCGTGGATGATCCGAAACCGGCTCGACGCAATCCTTCGACCGACCGATCGATGAACGGAACGCCCGAAGAAATGCCGACCGGCTTGTCCGTGTGTATTCAGTCCGACGTCGACGTCATCGCACATACTGCGAATACGCTACGTTCCTGCCGCCGAAGCACTTTCGCTTATCAATGAAATAATCGTTCAGCCGCATTGACCGATAAAAATATCAGACACTTCGTCGCGGCATTACTTCCTCTTCGTAAGCATGTTCTTCCGAATCGATCGCAATACGCAACAATATTTCACAAATGTATCCTGAAAGTGTTTGAACTTGCCCTCGGGGATATCAGCTCGGATTACTTTAACGGACTCGATAGTTTTTCGACTTGAAAACTTTCGGCTTCAGAGAGGATTTCATGCTGAAATTAAACTAATATTCCCCAGACATGGAATCGATCGAGAAGCGTTCTCGAGGATACCCTATTCGTTCCTTGGACGATTCGTGCTCTCAATTCATGTCCGCTCAGAGACACGAATCAACGTTCAGCTCGGAGAGCTTGATAGTTCGAAGATTTGAGGAATCGGGCGCGGAGTAGCTCAATTTAGAACAGACCAAAAGCAAGAACAGTCTCGGTAGGATGGATCATACAAGATGAGACCTTCGAAACCAGGATACAGGGACTACACATTTTCCTTGCGAGGTTCTTGCTCATTTTCCCGAAAAAACGGGATGGAAAAACAAACCTGGTCGTCTCTAGACGCATCCGGATCCGAGCGTTATGTTCTAAAAAATATTGAATTGAAATAGTAAGATAAGTTCTCATGCACGTGTGGGAAGAGATATGATCAATTTTCATGTAAAAACTCACGGCGATTTATTCAACCATTCTCTTCAGTGGTGATGATTTTTACGACAATAATAATAATGATCGTATCGATAACCTCTCTGCCGTCTTCGCGATGCAAAAAATTAAATAGAATCCGTCCAGACAATAATATATAATATGTATATCCGTATTTACAATTATTGTTACTTATATCCGTCACATAGTCCCTTGCTCTCGCTGACGCAGAGGCGCTGAGCCGTCTCTATGATCATCAATCTCGTTTCGGACATCAATTCAGTTCGCGGCCTCGGCTCCCAGTCATTAGTCTGACTGAGTTGAACCTCAAATAGTTGTCTTTAGATTCTTCGTAGCTTCTCTTTGTGGGCAGCGACTTCCGGCAAGCCTTCAGCCACGGCCGGTCTTTTTCTTTCACAAATCAGACTTGGGTCAATAAATGGCATTGCACATAAATCATTGTGGATATTTCCGTGTCCTGTGTGTTATTCAGAAGTTGTTTCCCTCGAAATCACTCGGGCCCGCTCCGCATCCCAAGAGAGTCGATGCTTTCGATTCGCATTGATCCCTGATGATAAGCGGTCAGGAAAAATTATACTCGGATGTACATTGTCATCGTTCAATTAGTTTACAGTCAGCAAACCGGACCTCGGTGTCCACGCTCATAAGTCAGGTCAGTATGTTCAGAAGCACCAAGGCGTGAGCTTGTCAGACGACCAGTATTCATCGGATTCTAACTAGTCAACGCTACACTTTCTAATTTCCAGTGAGATTTCTTCTACACAAATATGAATATATATATTCAGATCTAAATATATATATTTTATGTATAAGTTCGTGAGATGGGGAACATTGTTTGGAAGTCATCAGTCATCATGTTAAAATAATCCCTCTCATCTTATGTACAGAATTGCGCAGAGGCTGAGCGAAAACTTTCTCAAATAATGAGCTTTCACGCACACATGCATTTAATTCGGTTCGTTTAACAGTTCATCGACAGAAAAAAAAGTCGAAACTCATATCACCACGTAGCTTCTTTCCGTATGCGGTTTTGCCGAAGGCAGCAGCGGAAGCGGCGGTAGCGGTAGCTGAAGAAGATCTTAGTCTACTACTACATCGCCTGATCCGTCGTTTAAGTAGAGGTCAGGGGAGGGGGAGAGAGAGCGGCGTGGGAACCCCCGCAGTGACTGCTCATTCTTCACAGTGAGATCTCCCGAGAAAGCCGCTCCTCAATGAAACTATTGAAGGGACTACGAAGACAACGATCGGCTGATTCGGTGCAGCGCTCGAAAGAGGTCCTGAGAGCGGGGGATGTGAGTGCTTTCCCGGTCAGGGCGTCCTTTGAGTTTTCGCTTGTATTTAACGTCAACACCTTACAGGCACATCCGCTCGAATGAATTCTAGCAAACAATGACACCATTCGGACGAAAGATGTCCGCACGTACGTATGTGTGTATGTATGTAGTCTACTGATCTCGCGCTGTCGAGTGGGGCAACGGTACTCTCGCAGCTTCGCTATTGTCCTAGCCTCAGAAAGTCCGGCATCCTGATAGAAGAGCGAAGCGTTCACGCTTCGAGCTCTTCCGACGCTTCCTTCGTCGATAGCCATGCCCTGGCGCTGACGTGTCTTTCTTATTACCCGTGAAATCCCGAACAGTCTGTCTGATATTGTACGAATCTTCGCGCACGAAAAAGGCGATTCGCGGCTCACCGACGCAAAAAAAACTGGCGCATCATCGCGACTCGTATAAATTTGCCATGTGCGCTTGAATGTTCCATGTTTGAGGAAACCCGATCAGATGAGCAACCCGAGTTCCCTATGGAGCGATCGATCACCGATCACGAGCCGATCCTCGTTCGTCTCAGACCGGAGCGCGCACTCTTCGGAATGCGCTGAAGTTTCTTGCGAAACTAACCGATGAGGATCCGCCGGATCACGACTTGGGATCTCGATCGCCCTCGGAATTGTCTCGTTCGACGGCAGTGGACGGCATGGATGCCTCCGGCGGGAATCTCGGCTTGCGAATAAATGAGGAGGACGCGTTCCAAGCGCTAAGAGATCCTCACAATTTCCGATACGGTCATTACGGACCCGATATAGACGCTCTAGGAGGAATCGTGCCCTTGCTTAGAGCTTCGAACTGCGAATAACTTCCCCACAAAAGAATTGGGAGATTGACCACACAACGAAGGCAGCTCACACGGCACCGTTCAAGTTCGAAGGATGAAGTTTATGAGAATTCTCCGAGGCAGCGCTCGACACTCCGGCTCGCTCCGCGGTCTTTCTCGAAGACTCTACACATAACCCTAGGAACCGAGGACTCGAAATGAGCTCACCCTGGATAAGCGCAGACCCAAACTCGTTCATGTGTCCATCGAAGGACCGTCGACATACCGTTGATGAGCGGACAAGTCGGCCAGTCGACAGACCATGGGCGTTTTTTCTCTAGAAACCTTTCACACTAAGCAAGAATTATTCTAATGACGAACAAATTTTTTAACAATTATATATCCACACAAGACATTCCGATACTGTCGAGAGACGAACGTGCCTCGTCGGAACCGCCCAGCCGGTCTGCGTCTTTTCGATTAAGTCGTCAGACACCCTTTTGTACTATGAAATGAGACCCTAGACCATCTCGCGGACCTTCGTGGTCGAGACCCAACCTTGTCTCCACAGAATAAGCGTGAAATGAGGAGGCTAAGCTTCATGCGATGTAAGCTACCTCGCAAGTTGTGACGATCCAGGCGTACCGCACGACCACTTTGTGAGCCCCACCGAATATTCACTCCGATTAATTCAGGCTATTCACAGCTCAGTCAACCGAGTCGTCATCACCCTCCATTCGGATTCGATTATGTACATTCGTCTAAGTTATTGTGCTATGGGTGAGCACAACTGGTGACTGGAGAATCTCTTCCATTTTATGCACGCTCGGTTCTGAGGCGGTCATAATATATTCCTGGAGCTTCCCTTCTCTTTCTCCTCTCGATGGAGGGAAAAGTAGAATACCCTTGTCTGAATGATGTTGGCCGTAGATTGATTGTCGATAGAGTCAGGAGTTTTGTCCTGAGCAGTATCCACATTCGACTCGAGGTCAACAGAAACTCGGCTCCATTCGCGTTTCCCGGGACGCATCCTCTGGAATCCCATATCGGGTTTAAGCAGCGATACTGTGCAAGTAAACAATGCGGGTGACACGGGGAAAAACATGGAGACTACGGTGAATCCCCCAGAGAATCTCTAAGCAGTAGAGCCCGGAAAATATGAGCGGGAATCGGGAAAAATCAGAGTGGAGTGGTCGCCAATGAGCGTGCCTAGTCTATCAGCGCGGGAAAAGCCCGGGGACCGGGCGGTTTTTGCAGCAGCTCAGCATTCTCGTATGCTAGTATAATAATGCACATGATATCCATCTGATCCGAAATGACCATCCATACGAGGTTCTGCACGGGCCACAGTTCAGAGACCAAGTGAGACACATCTTCCGAATCTCAACAGCCAGGACATAGTCAGAATTGACGCAGGAGCTCGCAGAAGTTTCAAATCAGAGCACGCGTGGAATATAGTCAACCTTGATTGAGTGAAGGTCCATCACATTGGACAATAATTGTCTTTCGAAGCGCTGTCGCACATTGCTTGCTGAGCCACGGAATCGATCAGCCTCCACTATGATCTTCGGATGGATTTGTTCCGTCATCGTCGTCGTTCGTTTCATTGTCAATTTCGATCGCGTTCTCCTCTGATTACCCATATTCTAACAATACATCGGAGTCAGCGACGAGTTTTCTGATTGTAAAAATCCTTGTCGTCGGTTCCGTCATGGAGCTTCGTTCTGATTCTAGCCTCTAAAAAAAACTGTACTTCACTGAGATTAATGGATGCGTTCAGGGGGTAAAGTGGCAGTTGCGGAAGGATTCGGGTCATTCGAAGAGCTCCAAAACCACAATCAGCTCTCCACAACGCCCGCTCATCGCGATCTTCATCGCACATTCATTCAATCAGTCAGTCGAGAAAGGAATTAGCTACCGTTCCAAATATAAGGCCACTCAAAGCCGGAGCAGTCTCCTTCCGCGAGAAAATTTGTCTCCTCGTGAGGCGGCTGCGAAAAGCGACTCGGGATTTTTTGTGGAACTCTCGGTTTTCGCGAGACGCCCGGTATCGACCTTCTCATCCATCTCGTCATTGAATCCGTCGCTGACAGCACACATGTCGTAGACGTAGAACATACGACGTCTGTTCATGGACGGACAGGGGGGCGGGATCACCTGCCGTCTCGTGGTACTTGCACTTTGCCCGGCAGATCCGTGGGTTATTCCTGGATGTCCCAGATTTCGGCCAAGAATGGCGGCAACTTCTTGTTCTGCACTTTCAACTGGAAACACATCTCGGCGTTGATTGCTCCCAACGTGCGGAGCTTCGTCAGAATGTAAAGGAGACGGGCGAAATACGTTCTGCCAGGGGGCCGATGGTTTTCCGAGTAGGTTCTTAATGTGTCGATGTAGAACTCCTGGATCTTCTCCACTTTCTCCGGTTCCAACAACGATGGTCGTTCTGTGAAGGGAGAATATCATGAATTCCCGGAACGCGCGTCATTGTTGAGTTTCTCCGCCCCAAAACCGGCTTGACCATGCAGTCTTCGTAAGCTCCGCTCTCGAATTGATTTATCTTCCGGAAATCAGGGGACAGACTCCGAGGGAGAACAGGTACGATTGTGAACGAACATATCAGGGCTCTATTCCTCACCGGAAAAAATCACGATAGCTGTCAACAGGGCATATTCAGCGTTATCGACCCGGAGGTTGCACATATGCCGACAGAAACGAAAGATGGCATCAGCTGAATCCCCCACAGAGGCGCTCTTGTAGTTTTCTCTCGTGTACGGCTGGTTATTGGCGAATACGATCGAGTCCGTTTTAACGTCGTATTTCCTGGCGCTCCTCAGCATCATGATCTCACTTGAACAAGCCTGGAAGAAATTGCGGCGTTTGAGATCTGAAGTGTATTCCACCTCCGCTATCCATCGTCCGTGGCGTCACTGAACTTCGAGGATTCTCGATCGGTATCTGAGCCGTACACCCCCTCCGGCACTGACCTTCAACAAGGTGATTTGATCTTCCCGAAGTAATGAATCGAAACCGGGAACCCGTTTGCTGAACTCGACTATTAGTTGAACCGTGAGGATGGTTATCCCCGTAAAGTGCTGAAACCGGAGTTCATTATCTTCCTCGGAATCGCCGAGCGGGAATTGAGTGATTTGACGGAGGTCGGATTCCGCCGGACTCTCGAATTCTTGCTGGTAGTACACGAGCCTGTTGATCAACTGTTCTTGGTCCTCTGTGAGTGGCTTCACCTGGAATACGAGTCGAAAAGAAGTTTTCAATCCGATGCTCCGGGCTCCCTGGAGTAACGACGCTACTTATCCTAGTCTCATCGTTTCTGGACATTTGCCCGAGCCCCTTCCCCCGAGCCCGAACTCACCTGACGCACGGCCATATTCAGCGCCATGATGTTGGGCTTTTCGTCGGCAATCTCTTCGACAACCATCGGCTGGATCCGAGAAGCGTTCGCAGGTCCGATTGCAACGATTCCGTTGGTTTCCCCAGCTTTGTGCGTATGTTGGGGAGTTTGCTTTTTGCTCTCGCGCTTCATTGCGCATTGGTACTCGGGCACGACGCACTCCGATCGCATACCGACCATGAGGCACTTTTTCAACCTGCATTCTTGGCATTTGCGTCTCATATACATATCAATTTCACAAACGTTTCCATATTTGCACGTGTAGACGGCGTTCTTTGTGATTGAACGACGGAAGAATCCTTTACATCTGGAAGAACGTCAGGATTTCAGAATATTCAATTTTTTCGCTCGGACGCCATCGAGTTCCTCATGATTGATACAATGACCCGATAATTTATCCAGCGACCTGGGTCCACGAGGGGAACAAGTCGAGAGCGGAAAAAAGCGCGCCAGGAGAAATTCCTGCAGCCTCCCTGAATACAGGGCAGACAGTACTCACCCCTCGCAGGTCAGCGCATTGTAGTGGTAACCCGACGCTCTGTCGCCGCAGACCAGGCATAGCTCCTGCTGCTGCCTGGGGTTGGTGCTGTTCGAAATGGGAGAAGGAGCCAGACCCGTCTGACTCGTGAGCGTCGTCGATTCCCCCGATGGCGACTTCCGTTTGATTTCGAGGGAGTCCTCACACTCGCTCCCCGACAGCGGATAGAAACTCCCATTGGCGTCTCCTCCTGGGTTGCTCAGGTCTACACTCACTGAAAAATTCGGAGTTATCCGACTATCATAACTCGATCATTGCAGGAGACGATGTGAATGGCTACTCCGTCGACAGCAAATCGGGGCTACAAAGTATACGGCAGTTCAATCGACGACTCCGATGGGGTCTCGCGAGACGAGCGTACGGAAGAAGTCCTACATCATGTTCAGGTTGCATTGAGCTCGATATCCCGTTGATCATGGACGTTACGTTCTCGTATTCTGAAGATATTGCGCACAAAGATCCAGATTGTGCCACACACCCGCGTCTTCAGCTCCTCAGAATCAACAGGGAGGCTATTTCACGCAATCGACGTAATCTCCTCAAGCTTTCGTTAACGGTTCGGAGCAAGCAAGAGGAGAAAGAGCTCGATACATTGAACATTAGGACAGGGATCAGCACCCCCTCCGGAACTATCAGAATAGGGAACTCGTTGGAGGAGGAAGATCGGGATCATCTCCCAGAATGAGGGAGGGGGGATGGAACGTTTTGAAATTCCGACGGATTACGTCGAACTTTCTGGGGATCTGGCGTCCCTCGGGGGCTTTTCCCGCTGTTCTCGGAAATGAGGAAGGCGAAAACAGGTTTAGCAGCTCGCTTCCGAGAGACTTCTCAGTCCTTTATTGGGATTCTTCTGGCATTGAGTCTTCGTAGCCGAAGCAGGGCAGCCGTATCAGCCGATAAGATCCTGCTTCAAGAAGAAGGATATGGATTCCGCTTCGATAACAAGTCCGTTGCCCCAACGGAATGAAAACGAGAAGGTTATTCGCGGAATCGTTCCGGTTGGGGTCTTTTCACCACACCAACGAACGGGAGCGATTATTTTTCTCAGCAAGAGGTCTCATGATCTCAAAACGACAGAGGAGCCAAGGAATCTGCATTCGGCCGCCCTCTCGTCAGAGGACAGGGCACCCGGAGCTCGCGGGCATCTGCCCGAAACGGGAAGAGCTCATACGGAGTCGATGGTCTTTCTCTCGGTGCGTGGAAGGAAATGCGAGGCTCCACATAGACTGGTTCCCGAAGGGGGCGCGAGCGCGACTTCTCTTGCAAGTACGCCCGGGAACAATCCGAGCATGCACCGAACCATAATCCGTTGGCGTCGGAAGTTTAGCTCGAAAATCAGGTCTCGGCCTTCAGGACTAGATGATGGAGGATGGCATGCATTGATTTGGAATTGATAGCATCGTCGTCGGCTGTCATCATGCTCGTCGAATTCAATTGAATGCTGGTTCGACAACGTGACGGAACCGTCGTCCGAGGAAGTCTTCCGCGATCAAAGGAATGAACCCTGCTTCGTCTATCCGTCGACGTCATTGAATTGTTTAGCATCGGAAGTCATCGAGGCCAGTGCTGCCCGTGGCCGGCGTGTGTTGCCCGCGTCGTCGACGACGACATCAGTCTCTATTTTTGAAATGCAGTTATCCACGTGAGACTGAAACGAGATCTATTTCGAGATCGCGAGGAGATCCCCTGTCTCAAGTGCAGTGGGACCAGGATTCCTTGACACAGAGTTCCCATATTCATGGCGACGCAATCGACGCAAATTAAGGCAATTAAAACCGATGTGGTTCTTTCTTCTTTCTTCGTCTCCGAGAAAGAAACCCGGTACGGTCTCCAACGAAGCGTCATCTAGAGCCTTGCTCAATGGACTATTCGTAGTCTAAAAATAGAAGACCCAATTCCATGAGCGGAAGGATAGTTCTCTTATTACCCGCGGGATTTCGAGGAGGAAAGGATTCAATAGATCCGCCGATCAACTCGATCCGATCACAAGGATCACCGGGAGTTCTGACCGCCCTGCTCGTATCGTGAGCGACCGCTTCACCGAACCGAGTTTGTATCGAATCGCGGCCAGAATCGGGAAAGCCTCGCCCTCGCTGCAAATGAGGTCACGGTGTGTGTTTGCGTGTCGGCTAGTAGTTTCCAGTACTTGAGCCCCTTCTCGAGCTGCTACCGCTGCCGCCGCGCCGCCGCTGCCGCCACCGCGGTGGCGGCTAGTTTCCTTGGAGTTGGAAGTCTACGTCATGGACGGCGCAGCGGCATTCAGAGGGAGCGTGTCGCAAGGACTTCGGAGGGTAAGAGACAGTATGGACCTCTCTTGCCGCTGGCTCGCTCACTCAGTCGGGTCAAGGAACCCTACCATAACAAACAGACACGGAAGCGGCAAATACATATACGCCGCTGCACTGCAAATTGCCTACACGAATATCTAGCATAAGTCAAAAGCATGAAGCGCTCCTGAAAAATCGTTCGCGCGCGCCGCGTCGCCTACGCATCACGGCTTGCGATCACGCAACACTTCATGGATGGTTTTTCTCGCAGCAGCGCCACCAAAACAAGGCTATCAAGGGGGTCATGCCAATACACTGCTGACTGACTGAGTGAGCGAGACGACATTTAGGTCCGCAACGCGAAAATAAAACGCATCGACTCAGTCCCCTTTTCTGAATGATTCAATCCTGGTCAAGGTCGCTAGCGAAGGCTCGCAACTCGCTGCTCAAATAAAGAACGACCATTTTCCCCGGGGCTGGGGAAAATAAACGAATTCCTCGAGAGAATCCTTGTGGAACTCAGACACTCACCGTCCATGTAAGCTCACCGGGCCGGTTTCGGGCCGTCGAACCCAGCGCGAAAGTGCAGCGGAAGATTGTTTTGCGAGAAAAACTTTCATCAACTCGAACTTCAATCCTACAGCTGTCAACACCTGCTCCGAAGCCAGCTCTTGTGTCCCTTGACGTTGAGCTTCGTCCACCACCGAACAACCACCGGGCGACGGTGTGTGGAGCCGCTGCCAGGACTCGTTGCGCTTGAAGGTTCAGCTCCTGGGCTTCAACTCAGATCCACCCGAACACGACATCTGTCACTCGTGATTATCGCGGCCGCGTAGGCCACATCGAATTCCTCGAATTCAACGCAAATTAACAACACTGTTTTCAAGAAGAACAAGAAGAAGGAATACAACAAAACTACATGGCTGCTACATAGGCAGTCGCCATCTTGCTGCTGTGTAGCCGACAGCGGCGCCCTCTATGGCGCTTTCCGAAACTACGGAATGGGAACACTCACTCATACACACCGACACCACCACCACCACCACCACATACTAGTCTACCGGCACGAGAGATGCCGCTGCTACCGTCGGTCGTCGCCGCACCACAAGCCGGCACGGCAGCGGACAGACGGGCAGACAGGCAAATGACAGCAGCGGCGGCTCTTGGGCACACCAGCGGCAACAAAGCAGCAATGATGATGACGACGGCGACTACTGGCACACCAATGCTGGCCGCCGCCGCTCCGCTGGCTGGCGGCAATCGCTGGCGTTGACGTTCTCATGAATTACGGCCTACGGTAACGCAGCTCCGTAGCGGCGACTCACTGTCCGCAGCTCCCTTGCGACCGCAGAGTATCTTCATATCTGCACTGCCGTGATTTCCAGCGCCGAACTCCATCGTTCGCGAGTCTCCTCCAATCAAGTCGAAATCAGCGAGACTGGTAGGAGCACGAACTCGGTTTTCCTTGGGCGGGGGGTTTCCCAGGAGCCGAACGATCGGAATGATGATGCGTCTCGAATCCATACTCCAGCATCACGACTGGGGAAGCATTGCGCCCGTTTTCCCCCTCTATCCTAAGCGAGTCCCTGCTAATAGGCCCGGAAGCGTGGGGAGAGCTCGACTTTCGGCAAGGGCCATCAACGGGGGCTCAACAGAGCTGTCAGTTTCCGGCTAAGATGCCGTGACTAAAATCCTAGACGTGATCAAGGACAGCCTCGTACATGCTGCGGAAATTGGAAGAATAAGATGCGAATGCTCAAGGGAGTCGCTCGGATGAAGGAGTGAATTGGTCCGATTTATTCCTTCCACACAAGCTGGCGATTCACATCATTCGAGAGGGGGAAGGGGTTTCGATTCCATCGGAGGGGGATCCTCTATTCTGGGCTGCATTCCGCTGAGCTTCCCCGGCATTTCCTCATAAAGGACGCTCCTCACACGCATGACATGCTGGAATCGTCCGCTGAGTCGCCCTTGTGGAAACCAACTCTCAGGGAGAGCTCGTCCGCAGGATGCCGTCAAGGGTCGATAATGTCGAGAGAAGAGTGTGCAATGGAAAATCGACATCGCTGAAGAGGATTCTTGACTGGCCCCTTCCGAAGGCATCGTAGATACGCTCCGCTCGCGAATAGCTCGATTCTTCCGATTCCGAACTCCTAGCCGCTCGAGTCATGCGCGAATCCTCCTTCTCTGCGACCAGAGATTCGAATCTGAGTTTCGCCATCTCTGTTTCTCGTTCTCGCTTATGAGGCGGCTCGAACCAGCGCTGGGCTTGTCGGGGACGAATGTGGCGATCACGCTCACCAAGGTGGATCTCTCCAAGGAAGCGACTGGCTCCTTGGAGATGTGAGCCAGCAGATTTTCGAAATCTGACGAACTTCTATAATCAATAGCAATCAATGTATCTCCGGAGCTCGGGGATCTCTTGACGTCGTTCAATGATTATCGAGCTGAGGGGATGGCAGAGACTCTTGGAGAATGGCTAGTAGAGGTCCATCAGTGTCACGAGAAGAGCTGCCGGAAAACGAGGGACGATGAATTTTTGTTCGCATAGGTTCATGCGAGAATTCGAGGGGCATTTGCCAGTTGAAGAAGAGAATACGTCACGTGTTGTATGTATACAATGGTGGCCGAAATCTTAAGAACGGCACCCTCTTCCAGCTGCCGGTCCAAAGATTCAGACCACCATTGCATATCTTTGTAGGGTAGGGCACCAGTTTTGGGACACATGAGGAAATTTTCATGTTGGGCTACGGAAAAAAACTTGACCACGTATGGAACGTATGCGCCCTCCGACCAGTTTCGGGACACGGAAGAAGACGATCTTGAATTCTATGTCCCTTGACAGGTACTTTCACCCTGTAAGTTTGAGATCGTCGCATCATCGCCAGATGTCATATCCACAGCCGTCTCCAAGACGGCCAGGGATCTGAAGATTTCGACATCTATCGGATCTTTTGACGAAGAAGCTGAGTTTTCGGCTCGAATAGACGGTCCGCATTGCCAGCTTGAGTTTGAGGAATCTCTGGAGCATTCGAAAGAGACTGTTCCATCTTATCGGACGGTGAAGCGGAGCTTCGGGCGGATTTTTGCCCGAAGGACTTCGGACGGTCATCAAAAGCCATGGTGGGCCGTCCTCTCCACCGAGAATAGGTACACACTGCGTGCCCTCTGCACGATTTGGCCATAAGGTGTTATGATACGATAATTTTCTCTCCCGGGCAGCTGTGAGTTCAGGGAATCCAGGACGGCAAGGTGTTCGCTACGAGCATGACAGGCTTGATGATTTTTTAAATAAGGTGAGGCTTCTTCTTTCACTAATTTCCCCAAGCGTAGCATCAAGCTAGCCGCGTCTAATGTCACCCCTCTTCTGTCAGCTATTCTCGAATCAAAGGACTCAGGGCCGTCTAGGCACGCAGTGGCCTTTGTAGGATTTCGCCGAGAGGAGGAGCGGTAAATGTGTGGAGTAGGGGGCCGATTGATATCTAAGAGTTCTTAAATCATGGGATGTGAATTACCCCTCGCCCCCCTAGATCCGCCGATGTAGGCACGCTCGCTTAGCGGAGTCAGTGGCTGTTCCATCTTGGAGTCGCAGCAAGAGGAACTCCTTGTTTCTACCTGAGCTCGGGAGAGGAAGTGTCTTTGAGCAGTGCAGCGACACTCCGAAGAACACCTCTCTTTGATATGATCTGACGTCGGTCCGAACAGTGGGAATGCAGTCTCGCGATTGTTCCATGTTCAACAATTGCTCCCCGATCGAATATGCTCGAAGCCGTGTCCCGTGTGATTTCGCGGAGATTCGCCTTTTTGAAGAGATGCTTCACGCTACTAATGTCTCACCACTCAAAGGGCATGCCGGCAGCAGTCAGCTCAGACAGCATTTCTGCTTTTGGAGTTGGATTTCGGTTGCTGCCATTCGATGGATGGCAATCGGACCACCCATCGCGAGGAAGGACGGCTCCCGACTTCGGTGCCTCGTTCGCCCTCAGATTGATGTATGTATGTTACCTGCTCTGATTCCTGAACTATTTCGAGGCCTCGCGGAACGCGGTCAAAACACTGAGCTGCTAGCCACTGAAGACTTGACTATACAAACCATTGCCAAATGATGTAGTAATTCATCGGTGAAACACTGATTTAGGGGCTGCCAGCAGTCTGCTAGCCTTATTTCGACAATCTACTGGCTCTGATGTCCTAGGAGCCAGTCGCTTTCATGGTTAGATCCTGCCTGGGGAACACGAACGCCACATCCGTTCGGGACAAGAACAGCGCTCGAGCCGCCACGAGGAGCAAGAACGAGAGCACGAGATGGCGAAGCTCAGGTTAGTATCTCTGGTCAAAGAGGTGAAGAATTTCCGGATGTCCAGGATTGCAGCCACGGCACTCCAACCAGAAACCCTCGGTATTATCGAGCTCCCATTGACGGCCCTTGCCGAGAGTCGAGCCCTCCTCATTCTTCAGGGCCAATGAGGAGAGACTCGCTCAGGATAGAGGAGGGAACAGGGCGCAATGTTCCTCCAGTCGTGGAGTACGGATTCGAAGTGCGTCATCATTCCGATCATTCAATCCCTGTAACACCCCTTATCCGGAGGAAACCGAGAGCGAACCCCTGTGAGTCCCGCTGATCCCGACTCGATTGGAGGAGATTTGCGAACGTTTTAATTCGGCATCGGGAGTCGCGGCAGAGCAGACATGAGGATTCTTCAAGGCCTCGAGGGAGCCGTTGAGGCTCCGAAGCGAGCCATTGGGGTCCGCGTCGGACCGCGAGTCGCCGTCACGAAACTGTGTGACCGAAACTCATGAACACGTCTTGAGCGCTGCTTGCCGTCACCGGGCCCACCACCAGAAACAGCAGCAGCGACAACAACAACGCTGCCAACAAGCAGCCGAGGAGAAACCAACAGTTTGCCTGGTTTGACTAGTTGCTCGGCTGATGTTTGTTACCTTGGCAGCGAGGACGGCGCCGTCACCGCCGCCGCCGCCACCGCCAAGATTTACGTCGACGCTCGCCGAACTTTCGGTCAACATCGCACTGGTGGTGGTCGCGGTTATCGATGTCGCGATTGATGCAGGTTGCTTACCCTCGGCTGTGCCGAATCAACGGATAGTAGTCAGTCATCCAGATAAATCCACTGTCAGACAAAGCGACTTCTGGTGAATATGAATTGTACCGACGGCTCGGCATCCGAAGCAAGAAATGAATTTTCAGGTCTAGGTTAGGGTGGTGGGCGACTTAAGGCTTCTATTGCTGACCCTGCCCATTAAGGGAACGTCATGAGCTCTACCCGTCACATTGAGTTGTACATGAAAACTGACAACTTATGCCGCTAATTCGCCATTAGCGATTTTCCGATCAAAGCGCAGGAATATCGGAACGGCGGGGAAATTCTGTCGCTTTAATCGTTGTTCACTGTTCGATGGTCGACTTGACGTCGAGACTCGAGGCGCTCGGAGAGCCGGAGACGCGATGACGCTCTATTCGATGAGAACGCGAAGACTAGCGATTTCAAGGACAGACTGACTGAAAAACGACAGCGTGACGATCCCTACTTTCACAGCATCCAGAGAGAGAGAGGGGCTGCTTAGCTATTCTGACACACTGTTCAATCTCCGTACTCTGTCACACAGATGTCTTCCGTTCGGTCCCAGGGAGACTTCCAAACGTAGAATAATTTTTGTTCACTGGTGGAATCACGTGAGACGCTAAGTTCCAGCAGAAACTCGAGAACGAGAGGAGTTTTAAAACGCGGTATGGTCATCGTGAGAGAAAGCGAAAGCGGCAGCGCACGCCAGAGGAGAAGTATCCTTCGAGGTTGGGAGCGTGGAAACCTTATGGCCGCCAAGGGAAGATTCTGATTTCAGTCACAGCCGGAACGCTTTGTCTGCGTGGCTCGTTCTGTGAGCGGGATCAAACTGCTCCACGGGAGACCGGAAGCAGACTCCGGAGCCGCAACGGCCTTTCATAGTTTCAGCCCCTATTCTGTCAGGCGCGTTCGGAGCGGCCTGAAAGCGAATAAGCTCATGGGCTGGCAAGTTAGCGGCTTAGAAAGCAGAAGCTATCTTTTACTCCTGTGAACGTGATCCCAGTCATCCCCTGTGAAATTTCGGAGAATTCCAGCCTTTATTCCTGTTGAACTCCTTTGACAATCGTCTTCCACTCTCGGTGCTTCATCCTCGAGAGCTTCGTATTGCAATTGAAATCATAGATCCCGGAGGGCGATACGCTGCAGGGGACTATTGTGCGCAATGTAGAAACTGGGGAAGAAGCTCGCGACTGATTGCTGGAGGTAGTCGAACATTGTCCAGAAAGAGCTCAGGTCTCCTTCGCGAGTGTCCGTGGTCACGTTACTCAGGATCATCTCATCGATGCCCAGAGAGCTGACGTTCATGTTCATGATCGTGTCCAACAATCCGCTGCTGTTCGAGCCGCATGGCCGGTAATCATGGGCGATGTCGGTTTTCATGCGGCACAACTGACGTCGAGCGCATCTTTGGTCGCACGGGAAGTCCTGATCCGACGAATGCAGGAAGCGCCTGCATTGAGGGGAAATATTAAGTAAGCTTATAACTGCTGCAATGCCGTCGCCGTATCGGTAGTAGACCAAAAGGGAACTCTAATCCGGTTCTCCATTTTTACGACGGCGACGCCTGCGATAAACTATGCACGACGACCTAATGAGGGAAACACTCTCTCGAGTCTGCCACTGACGTGTAGAAAGATTCGAATTCTTCTGGTTGTTGAGCCATTCGGTTCACATAATTGTTCCACTCTGCAGGTGACAGAGCCGTGAGATTGAGATCGGCGCGAGCTGAGTACTCCTTGAACCAGATTCCACGATCGTTGAGATTGGCATCAGTCAAGTTGAGGATATAAGTCTCGTGATCCTCGATCTGTCGGAAAAATATACCCGATTCTCGTTGCGGATCTGATTGTATTTGTTAGCAAATGAGGTCAAGATGTGATGGCCGCTCCATGTCCCTTTCTGCTTCACCCCGCGCCGTCCCGCTCCACGCAGTTAGCCAGTCTATCCAGACCCTGGTTCGGGAGGAGGACAGGTCCGGAGATGAGCCACTCACCCGGTGGTCGAGCTGATTCGAGCGATATATCCGGAAACTCGGGTTCAGGAAGGAGTATGTCGTGACGCTTGGTCCTATGTATGCCACATTTATGGGGATCGCTCTTGTCTCCTTGTCGAAATAGACGATGAATTCGTCGTAGTGGGTGTGCCCGTAGAACTGTGCCTTGATGGTGTCCTGATATCTGGAAGTCCAATTAAGCACCTTCGTATAATGTCCATGCGATAGCGGAGCCTTCGAGGGTCCGCGCTCGACTTGCGGAGAAACAACTCCTCCCTTGGAGCTTCCATATCCGTCGACGCGTTGGAAACTATTATAAGGCGAGGAGCTCTATACCTCAGTCGTGGACTCATATGAATTGCGTCCGAGGACACCAGCATTTTCGGATGATCTCGAGGGTGGAATCCCTGTTCAGAATTCCAACAGCTCCAGTCTCATGCTCCTGGGACACGAACCTTTCGACGATTGAGTGGAATCCTCTGCTCCATGTTTCGATACAATCCGCGAGACCCGGAGGTACATGGCCGATTATGTGAACGGCCTCTCCGGCCTGTTCCGATTCAAAGAGCTCCCTGTCGAGCCAAGCCAATTGGCCTGCAGCGTCTCGTGAATCCAGGAGCAACCATCTATGGAAGGATTCGAAAATTGGATCAACGACAGAGTTAATCCGGAAGAGCAGGTTGGAAAGGCGGGAAATTCCGAGGGATCGAGGTGGTCGGGACGACCGTTCTTGAAACGAGGCACCTTTCTTGCTTACTCACAGATTGAAGTAGTAACAGTAATTGGTGTTCAGAGATATGACTTTGAGACCCTTTCGAGGTCGAGCCGTGTAGTATCCGTGCTTGCGGAAGTTTTCCTCGGCCTCCGCGGGAAGCCACTGCTTCCAAGACTCCCACAAGAAATCATAGAGCTTCTGGGTTTTCTTCAAGAATTTCGGGTCAGGCTCTCCGGGCTTAGATTCCGTCGTCCGGGTGAACCTGAAAAAATTCATGCTCCAGGAGTCCGCGGCGAGGATAAGCGTTTCTCTGTTTGAGACTCGGGTCGGATCCCTTTTCTGAGGTCTCGTGATCACATAGAAACGTCGGCGTCGGATTGTGGACTGAACGAAACTCACATGTTTGGTGGGACACTTTCGTGGTTGCCGACGGTAGGGAACACTCTGAACCGTCCATTCCAGAAGTATTTCTTCAGTAGCTCAGAGGTGAGATTGAAGTTGAATTCATTGGACTGTTCCGTCAACTTCCATAAGTCGTGAGCCGGGAGATCCCCAGTCCAGTAGGCGAATTCCATCTTTAGGTCGAAATTGGAATGTTTCAAGGCATTCCTCCCACGAGGTGATTTCGGAACCGCTCAGAAAGCATCATCCGTATACGCGACGATTCTGGGTCGATTCTAATTACCTCTTCAGACATATTGCTTTGTATATACTGGAGCATATTCTCGAGCGTTTGCTGTGGCAAGTCACATCGTCTGTAGTCTCCCCAAGCTCTCGCTTCAGATTCGGGGCCAGTCGGTTCCCCACTGGCTTTCTGACAGCACAATGGCTCAGAACAATTCGCAAGGCTTCCAACCTAAGTTCGGAGCATAAATCATTACAGGTGATGATCCCCGAGTCACACTGTGAACAGTCTTCGGGAACCGCAAGATGATTCTGTGCGCAGGAAATCTCTACATGATCTAACCTGGTACTCAGGATCGAAATGCGTGTCGCTGATGTGCAGGATTCCGTAGGTGTCTCCAGACTCAGCTTTTATCTGCTTTTGAGCTATCAGAGATGACAAAGAGAGCTTGCGTCCTGTCGAGTTTGCTCGTTCTGTCACCTCCATGTCCCAAATGTGGTATTCTGATGAGAGGGTTCCGCAGGCCGGTCCGAAAACGAGAGTGCAGCTGTCTTCGACTGATATTTGGCGCTTCCGAGCCTCGTCCATGATGAAGTCCACTTCATCCTGCAGAATTCGAGGATGAGTTCCTGCTACCGGCGGAATGAGCATCAGAGACGCTCCTAGAACGGCTCAGTCACCGGGATGTTGCGGACGTCGCTTACCCGGTACTTGTCGATGAGCCCGGCGCAAACTCCGGGAGTATTCAGTTTGAACCATTGGCATGTGAAGCCCAGGCCCCTGAAGAACACGTTCCGGTTCACAAATCTCTTCATGTTCGACAGAAGTCCGAGTAAACTCCTGCATGTCGAGCAGGTCTCCATGTTAGTTATCCCCGTCTCGAAAGTGTCCCGGACCTGACAGTAGGAAAACGTTAAAGTGAGCGAAGTCGAGGATCTCGCTCGCAGAAGCGTGCCGAGACATCATCATGTTCCTTTCGGCGTCGTCGTCACGAGCCACAGCGCACCCCGGCGAAATCGTAGCTTATTCGCTGCAGAAGCAAGAGGAATTCGAGAGGAACACTGTCCGTATTGTTCAATTCGTTCTCTTCGGCGGCGTAGGACAGCGTTTGGAAGAACTTCTCGTAGATTTCCATTCTAGATGGAGTTTGGAGTACATCTCTCTCGTAGTTTATACTATACGGTAGATGCAAGGACGAGTATTGGCCTTGAGCGACTTCAACCGAAAACACCAGAACAATGGCCGGCAGAAACACCCGATCGCCAAGCGAGGTCCTCCCTGCAATACATGGATTATTTATCAGTCGAAAATTACGACCCAATTCTCGCAAGGGGTACACCTGGGCAGATAATTGGGAAGTGGGACATGGATAAAGGCGGGCAAGTGAATTCCTCCTCTCCTCTCTTCCCCCCCCCCGAGGATCGTCGCTCGGGTACGGGATGCGCGGCTTCGATACCAGATCCTGGTCGAACGTGGCCCTAGGCAGACCCGGAGTCCCGCTACGAGCATTCGGGTGCTAGAATCGAGGCAGCTACCCTCCGCACTAGACTCCGTCGAGGAAATTAACCCAGATCTCCGTGAGATCCGAAAACGGTATCTACAGCTCGTCCAATCAAGGAACGGATCCGTCGTCGATCGAGCGAAATTTTTAATCCACTGAAGAAATACGAAAACTTACGGGCCGCGTGAATCATGATTGTGCCTAGTCGGTGCTCTCTATGGCATCACAAGCCCTTGGACTTTGATTTCTACGAAGAAGTGGTCGAGACTCCCTTGGCCAATCTTGTCCGGATACCTTCAATGATGCTGGCACCCTCATTCGCGAGCCTTCTCAATAATGACATAATATAATTATCCAAACGAGGAGGACATTTTTCTGCTTCCGTCTGTTCGCTGGCCCAGGACGGAGTCGTCTCGTGGAGCAATTAAAATCGACAGCCTCGCCCTCATATTCGAGCTCCATCCGCCCGTCATGCAATTACGACCCAAATATTCTGCACCTCTAACTCGAATCCGACCCTTTTTACCTCCACGGGCAACCACCGTTCCGGATCAGATCGGACGCTCGAGGGGATTACCGTTGCTCTAGAGAAATTGGCTCGGATCCCTTTTTGATCAAATTCATTGTATTCTCAGTATCGTGGCTTCAATCACGTTGACGCGCCTGTCTCCAGCGAGAATGCCAAAATGAAACCTCCGATTCGTGCTCGGGTTTTCTACTCAATTCTCAGGTTAGGGTTGCTCTCCATCTCAACGATGTATTCGGCCAGTCTGCATCCAGAAGTGGGCTCGAGAAGTGCACCCTATTTCCTTGGAGGGTAGCGGAAAATTGAGCGGTATTCTTCGACCGATATTTGTTCTGTGACCTTCCGGAGCACATTCTGACGTCGTTCCTTTTGATTTCGCATCCGGAGGGAAATTGAGCTCGATGGGACTCGGCAGGGAATATAATGCACCATACGCATATACGGATCATGCACATGTTTGTCACCACCGGCCAGAATCCGAGCCCCAGCTCGAGGACTAACTGCCCCTGGCGCTTCAGATTTGCTCTGAATGCCACCCTTAGCATACCCCCCTCCCTTCCAAAGGGTTAGAGAGCGAGTGGAGATCAGAGATAACCGATCCAAGATCGGCTTCAAGCTTGGCTAAGTCTCCTCGGAGGGAGTCTCTGGCCTCGACATTGTCGGTAGACAGGTCAGTTATTCGTGTATGCCAAAATAAGGGCACATCGTTGGCATGCTGATCACACCCGCCGCATGACCCGATCAGAGAAGCGCTCTCGAGGAAACCAGGAACCTAACGGACATCCTAGGCCATGGGGCGAAGTTCAGGTCCTTTGCGCTCGCTTGGTGTACTGCACATTCGAGTGTCTCGTCGGTGAGCGAAGTTACCAGCAGGAGGGATCTTGAATATTCTCTACAATCCACAGAATTCTGAAAGGGCGAGGTTCGGCCGAGATGACGATGTATGTACCTCATGCTCTCTGCATTTTGCCACTGATATCCGACTGTTTCGAGCAACAGGTCTCCATGACAGATGGCGACCGCTTGCCACCCTCTATCTTTCTTGCTTCTGATCTGATTGGGTCTTGGAGCTCCTGAACTTGAGAGCGATTCGGTTCATAGGACGCAACTTCGAATGGAGCGCTGCCGGCTGCAGCGGGACTCCACGTTTGAGCTACCTATACGCTGAGCACCTCGGAACAGCTAGAGAAGTTCCCAATCGAACATTTTTTGGTTACAAGGTATATTTTGGGTTCAGCTGTATTCAATGAGCCGAAAGTTCCCCGAACACTTCATTCCTTTTTCGGCTATTCGAGCGATACTAGCAGTTCTCGATACGGACTCACTGATTTATTCGTATATAAGAGGCTTTGATTTGGGCGTAAGAAACGCGTCTCGAGATTACCTTCCGATTCTCTCGAGGAGATATCATATCATAAAAATAGTTTTATCCGTAGCACGCGGTTCCTTCAATCGACCAGTTTGGTCACGGTTCCATTGGCACCATCGACCACGATACGGTCTCCTTGGGAAATGTACGACGTTGCTCCAAGGACGCCGACGACGGCGGGGAGTCCGAACTCTCTTGCGACGACCGCTCCATGGGAGAGGAATCCGCCAAGTTCTGTCACAACTCCAGAGAGCAGCGGGAAGTATGGCGTCCAACCTTGAACCGGATTAATGGGATAAGATCCAGAGATTTGGCGGTCACTACGAAACGCGGTCGACCAGAAAGTAAACGTGCGTGCCAGAAAGACTCTAGACTTGAAGCTTAGCATTCACACGATTTCAACGCGAGGGCTAGAAAGCATATAGACCTGTGTCCGTTGCGTTCGTGACCAGGATTTCTCCTTTCTGGATCAGATGAGCCTCGGATTCGAAGTCCATGATCACCCGAGCGATACCTTCCACCACGCCGAGACTCACGGCCGTCCCCTTGAACTGGATCTGGCCCGTGGTCCCGGGAACGATCGGATCCAACTTGATCTAGAATATTACTTTTCATTTGAGAATCGTATCGCCAGTCGGTCTCCCGATCATTCGAAGCCCACTTGCGTCGTAAAATAATTTGAACTCCCAATTAATCCTAGCTATAACTTCGGAGACTCGTGATTAGAGCGGGACCTCCATCGCGTTCGCGAGGGCCGTAAGAGAAATCTCAGGAGGAACTTTGATTTCGTCCTGCGGAGTGTTCGGACAGAGGCCACAATCAGGTCGCTCATGGAAGCTCAGCCCGACTTTCGAGCTTTCCATTCCGCTCATTTACCGGTTTCGGCATCCCGCACTGTAGACTCCTGAATTTAGCTTTATCCAATCTCGGATGGATGCGACTCCTCCGGATGGCCCTGTGAGACGGAGAGCGAAACAATAAGAGGCAAAGGATGGATAGAATTCAGCATAAAAAGTGACAATCATCGGGAAACTATGTCACAGACTCATTGCTTTATCGAACTCAGGAGCGTAATGTAATATCTTTACTTTGTCACCAGAAGAGGATTTCGCTGATGAATAAGCCTCCGAAGTTCTTCTACCGACAAGAAAAACACCAAGTCTGCTGATGGTAATCTTCCCTCGTGTACCATTCGCTTCGCCAGCGTTCGGAAAGCCATCCGAAGCTAGAAAAAGAAATATCTGAATGAAGTGTTGCTCTGTAGGAACAGGCCAAGAAATCCTCTGCTATCGATGTATCATAAGTCTTCATTTATCCGTGAGGGTCTTTCACCTGATGGATGACGGAAACAAGAGACGATTTTGTCGCTTCTCGAGCGTAAACTGCGAACTGTGCTTTCGGGAGTAACCACTTTAGAAGGCTCCTAGCGGACGAGATATAGAGCTCGTCACAATAGAGCAATAACCATGGGAATAAGAGTAAGGGTGTCCTCCTGATCATTTCCAACGACGGCCGTGGATTGCAGATGTAGAGGTTTTCTTTCCAAACCTCGAACCGTGCTTGCCATCGGCCTACGTCTCACCTGTAGATCCAACGCGATGAGCTCGGCAAGTCGTCGACGCTCAATCCTTCTTCGCTATCGCTTGAAGCCCGAGAAGTCTCGCTTGCCTTCACGGAAGCTTTGAGGACTCTGAGGGAGACGAAACCGATCATTCGGGAGGCACTGGTCACGCTTCTCCGGGAATCGCTACAAAGCTCGGAATCTTACCGAATCAATTTCTCTGGTTCAATGATCCACGGGTTCGACATCAGGTCGAATTCCTTATAACAGCGATGACCGTGGCGCCTCATGAATTCTCTGAATGGAAGCCGAACTTAATTCGGAAAGAGTCCAGAGTTCCCCTCAATAAGTACCGTGAGGGCGATCTCATCCTCTGAGCACCCTTGGTCGAGGCCCCGGCCCCGGATCCAGAGCCTTCCCCCACGCTTCTAACCTGAATCCCGTTGCTGCGGGTTCATCGGATTTCTCAAGCCATTCTAAAGCTTCGCTGTCTGGCATGTCACAGAACTGGTCGCCTCGAGGAGACTCCCGGATGAGCGCGGCAAGTTTCTGAAATGGGAGGGAACGCAGGGGGGCTCAACGGATGATCGAGAGGATTCGGAAGCCAGGCAACGAGGAAACCTCCGCCAGTAAACCTACCGCTAAAGAAAGAGGGATATTGGCGCTCTCAATATCGTGTCCCGACTTCATGAGACGAGTGAAGAAAGCAGTCGTTTCGGGACTCTGAGCTGCAGAAGAGAGAAGGATAATAAGAATTCGAGGGCGAAACGAGCTCTCCGACAGGTTGACAATGGTGTCAATGAATTTACCTTCTTTGCCGATAGACAAGCCGACGAGAGCTGGTATCGCGGCGCCGTATATGGAGTTCGGAATCGTCGCTTCTATCAGGTACGCTCCGCTCTGAAAGCGTGGGAGATTCTAGACTTCGCTTGAATACCTGGATCGCCGGTGAAGGAACGGAGAAGAACTGCAGCATCCGAAACTTCTCACGAGTACTTACGCTAATGCACTTGTGCATACTATTTATTATGGTATCGATGATATCCTCGGCGGACATGTCTTCGCTGACCTCGACCCGGAAGTCTCTCTCGATTTCACGAGCTTTCGTCAAAGCTTCGGCTGTGCGTCCGAGCGACTGGAATAAGAGAGAACCTTTTCTATGCCTCTCCGCGGCGAAGAATCTCAGTCCCACACGGTGTATGTCAGTCGTTCGCCTTCTGGCGCGAATCTCAGGGTAAACTGGTCCCCTTCGAAGGCTCACCCTAATGGCGTAAAATCCCGCCATATACGGCGCGTAAAACTTTTGAGGTCGGAGATGGCATATCGAATTGATCACAGCTTCGTCTTGCGATATATCCCTTCCGAACATCGACGCACCGATGCCCTTGAGGTCGTTGTTATTTTTCCTGAGTCCGGGCTAGTGGAAGTATGGAAAGACTTTTACAAGGAGCGAAACGTTGAAATTCCCACTTGAGCGAGTTAAAGCATGGACTGAATTTTAGGGAGCGAGACGGTGCAACTCAATCAGACCCTCATCTCACGGTCAAGTTATGAACAGATGTCGCTCCGGAGTCTCACCTCGGAAAAATTCATCCACCACTTTTTTCCGATACTGAAGCCTCCGAGGTAGACATAAGCGCTCCTCTCATACTCCTGACCGGGCTTGAATTCCAAGAAACGGTACTTGACGAGGTTGTCGAAGAAATAGCGCATCACTGACGAGGTCAGTGTAGGCAGCGCTCCCGGCAGCACTTCGCTGTAACGACGGAATCAGAGTTCTCAGGGAGTCTCGTCGATCATTGTATCCTACCCCTACCTCAGGTTCGGTATGAGGTATGTGGCTCTGGGAATTCTGTGCCTGGCCTATGTGATTCCGGAAAGCGGCTCATATGTCGAGCGCTATACGAACTCGAAATTTCCTCTCGAAAGCAGTTCCCTGTTCGTGCGCAACGAGCTATTATTGTCATGTTCGATTTCGAAGTCAGATTCTCGCAATGCCGACGTGACCGGCCGACACTGTAGGAGGAAGATTTTGCCTGCAAAAAAAACATTTCGACTGATCGTCTGAGGGTTCTTTTCTCCTCCCCTCAAGTCTCCGCTTTCGACCAAGTATGGTAGAAGTGCGAATTTTCTAATAAGCCGAAAAATCCTCGGTTATCCTATATGTAGTCCGGCCTCACCATCTTTCGTCGCCCATTCTACGTCGCGGCAGATACCAAAGAATCTGTCAATGATGTCTCCAACCTAAGAAATGAAAACTCTCTCGCAATCAGGCAATCTGAATCAGAAAGGAGGGTGACGACACAGCTGAGAATGAAGAACGGACTTTACGACCAATCACGGGGTTCCGGTTCGTCTCACCCGAGCAAGCCGTATCGCGAATGCCTCGTCTATGCAGGTCTCTTTACTCTCGTCGCCGGAGGATCTCGTCTCCGTGCCACCGTTTTCATTGAGAACGATAACCTCAGACTTGGCTCCGATCTGGGGAGTTTCTACGGGTGAGATACTTTGGGCTCGGTGGTATGATGCGCGCATCGCGTGCCGAGAGCATCCGACTCAGCCCCTTACCTTGGTCTCCTCGACATCGTATTGCTCGCTTCGATTCTTCTTCAAAACGAATGTGTCTGGCTCCGCCGTCGCTGACACGACGGATTCGCCAAGTCCAAAATTGGCGGTTATCGCAGTGTACAGAGGATTTGCCGTGACCTACGATTTCAATGAGCGCTTCACTACCTGATTACTGATCGGATCCTCTTTCGGGCCGTGACGGCCGGTTCCCGAGAGGCGGCTACCCACCGGGTCACAGGTGAACATCACCCCCGCTGCGTCAGGTGCGACCATTTCTTGAATGACCACCGCCATATTTGAGAGGATCGGTTGACCATATTGTCTCTTATATTGAACAGCTGTATCGTATAGAGTATAGAGCAGGGAGAGGAACTGTTAGTCGTCGTCGTCCATATATACCCCACAAGAGAGGGAAAGAATTATGAAAAGGGATTCGTTCGCGGAACCAGTCCATACACTAGCTGGGTTTCGAACTGACTTGCCTGTGAAAGCGAATTGGGATGCCCAGCATTCCGTGACAGCTTTTTCGATGGCCTCCAGCCCTGCAAGCCGGAAACGAATATTTCGTAGATAGTCCTTGGTTTTCGAATCGCACACACTTCTGTTGCGACTTAACTATACGTCGCGTACAACTCGGGACTCGAACAATTGGCCTCACCTTGAACCCCGAGCAAGGTAGTCATCTGTCCGGCAGCGGACATCTCCTCAGAATCTTCCCCGACAGCTGAAGAACGCACAGCGAAACGATTCGACTCCCACGACGTTCCGAACGTTGAAGTGAGAGACGCTATCAGCTACGGAGCGAGGCAAAATTCATAACTCGCTTTTTTCGGGAAACATTCCAAGTCACTGAGTGAATCGAGCGAGTGCCGACGCGTTGGTACGTCGCGACGTCCGATCGGAAACTCAAAATCACCTCTGCTCGCAGTGTTTCAGGAAGCGGAGTCGCCGAAACGTCTCGGTTGCATTCGATACACTGAGCCTTGACGTCTCCTCCCGCGGCTATTCCCTCCGCAAGTCTATCGGTTGCCTGTTTGCAACTCTTTTGTTCAGCGAAGACAGAATACGCCTTCACAGTGAGAATCACGAAGTTCGGAACTGCGAACTTGGAAAAAATACCGTGAATCGTCAATCCCATCTTACTCAAGATCGATTCCTTCACTCCAATGCTCCAAGGCGGTGGTCAATGTCCGGAATCCCGAAAATCATTCGTGCCTAGGCTACTACCGATGGTTCATGAGTTCCGGACTGCTTTGCTACAGCATTCAGCAAAGCCAGTGAGCTCCCCTTGCCGCCCGTGAGTTGACACTGACGCGCTTCCTCATCTCCGCTCGCAACGATCAATGGGGCGATAGTCATCGTGTTTTTCCGGACGAAAGTAGCCAGGAATTCTTCCGGTAAAGATATCGATTCGTCCTCCCCTGGAATTTCCACCTAAAACGGGAAACGTATCCGTTATATCTGCTCTTCTCCTGTCCGACTGAGAGTGTTCACGTCAGACTCACCCGGAAAATGCTGATCTTGAGTTCACGGCCCTCAACGAGGGCTGTGCCTCCGAACATTCGCGCGGAAAATCCCTGAGGGCCGGCAAAGGCTTCCTGAATCGGCTGCAGATCCACCTCATACGAGTCGGTCTCCACCTAGAGTAGAATTATCTCGCTCAACTGTCCGATCTATCCGAAGAAATAATTGTATATTCAAAAGAAAAACTCTCCATAATGCATATTACATAAGAGATGGACATACGGTGCTCCTCACCTGGAAATTTAGCTTCAACTTCTCCGGAGAGACGATGATTTCTCCTTTGCGGACCGCTTTCATGAAACGACCGACTGAGTACACGGACCCGCAAAGTGGGTAACTTCCATTCCGAGAGGTTTGTCCCTCGGGGCTCGCCAAATGCATCGAGGAGCCATCATTCGCATACCCAAAGTAGTGCTTGCAGCCCGCGGGGAAAATTGTATTGCGAGAAATCTCTTTGAAGCGGCCCCCGAAAAGCGGTTTCTCGACCGTCAGGGATCGGTCCACTTCGATTTGAGCGTAGAGCGTGCCATTCTGATCGTAACTGTGTATCGAATGGCATCCGCTGGGGAAGGAGCGGAGAAAGTGATAACGCCGCGGGAGCATCGGTCATTCAACGATTTTCGTTATGGTGGACTAAGGAATCGAGAAGGTTTTTCGGCGGTCTTACCGCTCAACAAAATTTAGAAGAGCGCCCAACGATGATTTCTCAATCAAGTTGTAGAAGTCCTTCGCTGATAAGTGTTTAGGCCACTCGAAAGCGTGACCGCCTGCGCTCCAGCGCATTCCGAATCGAACATGACGCTGAAACCACATGAAGATCAACTCAGAGAGGGGTTTCGCTTGAGGGCACTTCGACCTGCAAAGATTTTCAACCTACCTTTTCATTGCCTTCGTCCATGACTCCATTGAACGCTAGCCTCCATCGACGCATGGGTGCGTCGCATTCGAGCCGGAAGCCGTCGGACGAGTAGATGTTGTCTACGGATTGAAGTCCGTTCAATATGAATCATCCGGAGCTCAAATATTCCAAGGAGGATTCCCTGGTCCACATGTGAAATCTATGGACTATTTCGACTCACCCGCGCTCAGATCGATACAGGTGGACTTCGAATGGGCGAGTATTCTATCCTGGATTTTCAGGACGATGAATAACTAGAAATTAGAGGACCTCGCTGACTACGGATGAGCGAATCTAGCGAGCTTTCATGTCGCCCGCAGGCCGCCGAGAGCAGATACTCGAGCATCGGATCAGGGAAACAATTCATTCAATTGAATTTTCGTTGAGCCAGAGGCCATAATCTAAGGGATTGAAAGCAGCACACGATACAAGTACCCGAAGGCAGGGGAAATATTGAGATCGCTTTCTCGATGATGGAAGCTCTGTCAACCTGACGTATGCGATCCCCTCCGGGAGATGAGGAATATCCGGGCAGCGCTCCTCGGAAGCGATAGTGAACTCACCCGCGCAACACCTTGTCTCAGCCTTTCGAAAACGACGAGAATCTGATCGCCATCGTCCGGGTCGCATCCGTGGAAGATGATTCGGTCCCTGACACCGAATTTCCAGTAAGACGCACATATCGACTGCATTTATACAATATCATATAACTTTCGAGTTCTCTCTCGAACCTCCTAATTTCCGGCTGGGCTCCAGGCGACTCCAGAATCCATTCTCGATGAGGGAAGAGCAAATTGGTTTTTCTCGGATCTTTTGGTTTTTCCTCAGCTCATAGAACGGGAACGCTAGGGCTAGCCTTCTCAGGCGGAGCCAGATGTATAAGCGGGCTAGAAAAGCCCTCAGGAAGGCGAACATTCGCGAAACCTCAAATATACAGAAGAGAATTATTTTAGAGACTACATTTAGGGAGAATTACCGAAGATACCGATTCCGACTTTCATCAGCCCCTCTTGCGTTGCTGCATAGGAAGAAAAAGCGTAGGCTTCCGGAACTCGGAATCGACAGGGCTCAAGTCATCTTACTTACGTGCTCGGGGAGTCGTCGGCTCTAAACGTTGAATTCACGATCCCACTAAAGGGTCAAAGAGAGTGGCCGTAATTGGCCGAAAAAAACACGAGCGATGTCTTTGTCGCGACAGCCGGCTTCCATTCACCGAGCAGCTGAATTATCGACGTGAGACAGCGCTTCTAATGAAATCGACTCTCCTCTGTAGTGATAATCCTCGTCGTCGGGGACTTTGTATTTTTCGATGTGCTCTATTGACGATCTTGAGATCAGTAAAAGCGATTGGCCGGCTCGAACTCAGGGAATGTCCGCTCTCGATACGGTCGCGGTCATAATCGTTGCGTTTTCGATCCTGAACCAGTGTCGACCGCTGATTCCAAGCCGAATCACATGGCGCACGCAGGAATTCACGCGTGATCTCTGGATGGAATCGATCAACTATTGAGTAATAGCATGCCATGTCATCAAAGGAGGGCGAGGCAGTTCGGCTCTGAAGGGTCAAGCCGACCGAGATTTCTTCCTGAGCCCCTAGCATTTCACTCGGTAGGATCTTAGTGAGATACATGTTCCACTTAAGAGAGAGGCGCCATTCTCGGGAACGAGCAATCATCTCTGTGGATAGTCGAATCCTCACCGCCGCGGATACGCCAGATATTTATTGCGAATATTCCGGGAGCCTCCCAATGCTCGCCCGACTCAAGTCGAGTCAGCCTGGGAGTGGAGGAATCAGGAGAGATATCGAAAGAAAGACCGAGATTAAAGGATAATCGAGAACCCCGCGCCGCACAAGCGGTGTACCAAGATGGTGTGAACTTTGGCATCGGTGCAAACATCTAGGAGTTTTTGTGCGAGAAGGTTGATGCAGCGGAACGCGAGCTCGAGCCCCAGCTGAATATACACCTCGCTTTGTGTCGGACAGAGAGATGTCTGTCCAATTGATATGGACAACAATGGTGACTCTCCGATCAGGTTAACTACTTCCTGGTATGGAAGATCTCGTCGCTTGTAGCTGCAACCTGTCTAAACGACGCCCAAGTTCGAGCAGGCGTGCGCTGCTCTCATCATCGATTCCTCGGAATTTCCCATCGGGCGATGGCGGAGCTACGACGCACTCGAACGCACCCTATTGCGTCACGATGAATATCGATGAGCTTGTAATTCCATCTTGGTATGATTCGTCGGTGGATAGGAGTCGGAGCCGGCCCTGGATTGAGACTTCCTCCGGGAGTCTCGGAATCGATGATGATCACGGATACCGGATGAAAAACCATGGGAATCCTCATCACTGAGATTTTTGATCCGTGTATGATCGGTGGATCGGTGATCAGTGTATGAAGCTTTTTTATAAGGTGGTTGAATCTCGGCGTCGAGTCGTGTCCGCACGAGATACCCTCGGTGTTCGAAAAAAATCGTCCAATGATGTCTCGAAATGAGGTTTCAACTTATGTTTCCCTGATGATCTACACAGACTGACAATCCGGGGGGACAGTCGAAAGGAACGAATTGAATTTCGAGAGGTAGAGAGAGCTTCGAAAAGGCAAGCGCACCCTCAAGGCCTGCATTTCAGAGGGGAAAGCCGAGTGGGAGATACTCTCGACTCAGCTGCTCTTCCTGCATTGTCGCCCAGCCCGAATCAGTTGACGGATGTACGGAATTCCTCACGTGGATCGGCTTCCCCATGGCTCCGATATCAATCGGTGGGATCTTCTCTTACAAGATCCCATACTGTCTGCTGGTCTACATTAATTCCCTCCCGCTACCGGCTACCAATCTTGTCCGAAAATGATTGAAATGGCATCATGCTCGAATTACAGTATGTTGAACCCCTCCTGCGGAGCTCAGAGCCGTGAGGACGGTCTCCCTCCCCGTAAGAACATCCAAATCGTGGTCGCCTGAGGTTCGGAAACAGGCGGAGTCTGATTCGGATTCCATTCAACGGCAGCTCAAGGTGGGATTCACGAGGGCATGGCGAAAACGCTCCAGCATTCTGAAAAACAGTCGCTGCCGTCTTCTCCATCGTCCTTGAATGAAACGTACAGGTGTAAAGCTGTGAGATGACTTTGAACAGGTGGCACTTGGATCCGTCGGTGTTTCTTAAAAACCGGGGTTGGCTCCTGCTCTGGACCCGCAGAGAGCATCACAGGTGCCTGGGTTCTCGGATGCGAAGCATTTCGCTCGAGATTCGTTTTCGGTTGCTCAGGTGTCGTCTTTCAGGGAGGCCAAGTCCGAGTTCGGAATTCGACTTCAGTCAAATATTTCTCTTCTCATATTCTTCCTGAGGGCTCGCAGTCTCACTAGCACATCTGAGTGAATGTCAACACAACTGCTACCGAGGAACGTCCACTCGATTGCTCATCCCAACGATTCCTTGCGCACTGTCTACTTGCATTAGCTCGCTCTTCGAGCTCGCGGTGCTCGATATTCATCTGCCGAATTGATCCCGGGAGTTTGTGGTCTCCAATATTCTCAAAAATGGAGAGCGTGGGATTCAGATAGCGCGAACGCATTTCTTGAAGACTTTTTTTTCGTCGCTCCTTGGTGCCTTTCGAGAGGATCGGTGAGGTTCGGCCTATCGCCTCAGATCGGGAAGGGGAACCTGGAGGCCTCGGTCGGACCTTCGATTCTCCCCCCAGGCGAGCTCCCTGGCCCCCGAGTCTCCAACCCGAAGCTCCGGAGAATTCTCCGCAGTATCAAATCGAGAAGCTAGGGAAATTTTATTCTTTTCCTCCTTCAGTCGTCAATCCGATCGATTTTCATTGTCCAAATATTTTCAGCGGAGGTTTCCCCCTGTGGATCTGGAAGGTCTAAACTCGGAACTTGCAAAAGACCCATGAGTGAATCGATCTTTGTTGTACGAAGTGCCTTCCCCGAAATCCAAGTGTCAGAACGTGGTGCGAAAACAAGGTTCCGAAGCGATGCTCGGATTCCGCAAAACAATAACTTGGGTCAATGTGTGCGAAACCATCATCGACGCGGGATTCAGTTCAGACGGGGTCAGACATGAGTTGGTGGAGGACGGCTGTTTCGTGTGCGATTAAAGGGGTTTCCACTCGTTGGGCTTGCGACAGGTGCCGCGGTCATCGATGATTAGGTACCAGATGAGGATCTCTTGACGGTGCATCGACGCTTCCTCGAATCGCGGCTCGAAGGGCTGTGTTCGCCGCAATCCCACTTCTAATCAGAGGCCAGAGCATCAGTGTGCAAGGAACATCGACAGTACTCACGCATCGCCAATTCTGACTTGAGACTTGAAGAACCTCATTTAGAATTTCGAGCTGTTCCCAATCGGATCTTGCTGCGAGAAGATCTCGGCTTGCTCATGGCTCAAAAAAATTGGAGATAATCTTAATGATATTGATAATCCGATGAGCATCTGGGGAGATTCGGTGGACTCTCAGCGTCCAATTCACGAGCAAAGATCTTAGGCGGCACTTTGGAACTTCTCGACACCGTAATACGATCGGCGGTGTTGAAGTTTCGCCGTCAGAGCGTAGGTTTTGCGCTCTTCATTATATGGACTGCTCTCAGAGCGCTGCCTTTGAGTTTCCGCTGCGAGAGACTACGAGATGTCATATAATCTGAGCCTGCGGCGATGTACCTGTCGTAAATTGTCGTCGGGACCTTTCTTCTTTGAGAGGTATTCCCGATCCATCAACCCTGGAGACGGACGGAGAGCATCTGTACCTCACTGGGCTAAATGAAAATGATTAAGACATAGGTCGAAGATCAAGGGACATCGAATCGACTGGACGCACTCTGCAGCATGAGCCCATCAATCCAATTTGGGAAGCTCGGCGACACAATCATATACTTTCCAAAATATTATTGCCATTCTCAATCGCCTCAGTAAATCATCTCCTGAGACTTCCCAACAGAGGGCAGGGAAACCGCGTTCCCGGCCGCCATCACCGTCGAGTGCGTGTTTCTTCTTTCCCGATGTCTCCGGCGATCAATTGGACTAAATGCTCGCGCCTCTAGCCCCGTTGCGATCAGGCGGGGATGTGGCCTCCGGGCATTAGCGTCAAAGTCGTTTAGTCAAAGCCTGTTGTCGCCGTTTATGTGCGATCGAATGTAGTATGTAGAAGAACGCGCCGGTTCTGTGCGGCTCTCGCAAACGATCATCTCTCAGAGCTCCTGACAATGATTATTGCAACAGCGATAGGGATCAAGAAGTTACATGAATTTCGACGCGGCGACAGTTTAGGAAGATCTTTCGAACTCGAATGGACCCTTGGATCCAAAGAACATCGCTGACCGTATCGTGCATTGTGAAAGCCCGAAAAAAGCCGGCCACGGATTAGAGGAGTGGGCTTTCAGTGGATCCTTCGAAGCGATCTCGGTGAAAGAAGAGCTTTCATGAAAGTCTATGCGCCAAAGAGGATTAAGGCCGCCACCTATCCAGCGCCATACTGATACAATGCGGAGTGAATACATTCTGCTTCGCCAGCCGGGTTCGCACCGAGGCGACCGATCTCTCCACAAACTAGTTCATCGTACAGACGAACATTTTTGCCATCCCTATTTCGTTGTGACGCGATGACTTCGATCGGTTTCCAGGTCAAGCGCTAGGAAAGCTTGGAGAGAGAACGGAAACGCGCCCAGTGATTTGTCTGAACGTCGTCCCCTCCGCATGTTCCTTACGCTGCTCTGACGATAAGATGGAACTCTAGAAATGAGATCGGGGCTAGCATGGAGTACTCTGAAATTTTCCGGACAAGAATCTCGAGTCGACGAATGTCGAAGCTGCTCGGTGGTTTCATTCCATAAACCGCTAACGATTCACCGTGAGCGCGGTCAAACGCTGTCTGGTTTGCGTGCGGGGGTGGACGTCATTGTGAGATCTCCTCGAAGCGAGTCAGCCAGCAAGCCAGACAGCCAGCAAGGAATTCGGTTAGTCCGGTGTTTCACGGGAGTGGGCGGTGTGAGCTCTTTGCCGAGGTCGAGAATTCCTCGGGAAGCTTCTTTCTCTTCGGCTTGTTCTAATGGTACACACAGGTGCACTCGCTGCGGCGAAGTGTGTTGACTCAGTCCGTCGTCGTACTCAATTGTACCCTTCCTCCTCATACTAGTTGAACGTCCAATAGCCCACCGCTCGACTGACGGTCGGTCGGTCGGTCAATCTGTCCGTTTGCTCGCTCGACCGTTCGTTTACCTGTTGCCTACGTTAGCGCGAATCTTATGCGCGGTTTCTAGAGCGGATGTTGACTCGCGTGCTCGGGCCTTGCATACGAGGCTGACTTGGACTCCTCCTCGGACGCATCCTCCCCCAGGTTGAGGGAAGGGAGCCGAAGAGGAGCTACCCACTACTTAAAGGGAGAGGGAGCCCCAAAACTCCAGTTCGCGCTCCGAGACTGCACACGCAAGTTCATTATCTGACCGAGTTGCACTACGAGAGCGGGGAAAAACCAGAAGAGTCGCTCGTACGGCAGGCGCACTCCTCCTCCTTCGACAGAGGAACCTCACGCCTTTTGGCATTAAAACGGATCCCGAAAAAGGTCTGAAGGAGGATCCCGCTCGCGGGTCTCCCAAGCATCGAGTCTGCTTGGCGATGGCGTTGACCAGCCTGATGTGCTCGTTGACTCTCTTTGTGATGGTGATCCTTGGAATTATTTTCCCGAATCTAGTATTCGGTGTGTCGGCCGATGAAAACTTCCGGAGGGTCGACCCCTCCATGCTGCGGACTACAGTGGGCTCGTCGTCGCCGTCTCAGCAAGCGATTGTTCCGATAGACCCCGCGGTGACTTCGACCGCTCAAACGCCCGTGCGCGAGGCTTTTGTGATCTCACAGAAAACCGCCCCGCTGACCAAAGACGAAGAGGAGAAGATCAGCCAAGAAAAACGCGAGTTGTTGGAAGAAGAACGCCAATGGAAAGAGCACAAAGCCGCCGTGGCAAAAAGACCCCGTCGGACGAAGCACAAACGACGACCCCCTACGGCGACCCTTGATCCTAAGAAAACGTGGCAAGCTTTCCTACGTCACACCGAGCTCCAGGCACCGAACGACAAGAAGAAGGGACAGTCTCCACCAAAGAAAGTTCATCCGTCGATTCTCCGTACAGTGAGTCATCAACTATGAGCTATATATGTTTTTCTCCACACGGGAGTGCTCCTCGAATGGGTCTTCCATCGATCAGACGTCTCCGAGGAGATCATCATCGGGTTCACAACGTCTTGGTTGGGAGCCTTGCGTAGCATGCACACGAAGATGAGGGTCGCGGAAACACGTCGAGGTTCAGGAGCCCCGGTCTAGGGAATTCCAAGCCGGGAGATTGTGTTTATTCGTACTTCTTCCGTGTCTTACATCCGCGCCTATGAAAAAAACTATTGAGCTGGACTGAGCGCCACGGACAAGCTTCTCTTGTCTCAAGTACATCAGACTCCCCGAGGAGAATGAACTTCCAGAATTATGTCCAGAATTCGACGGAGCTTTCAACTAGGTTTTATTCTTCAGCCATTCAACTCGTACCGAGAAGTGGATGAAATTCGTGTGGCCAGAGTGAACGAGAACAACTCCGGTGCGAACGCCGGCATCAGTCGACAGGAGATGATAGAACACATGAGAGACCTCATCCGGGATGCGACCGAGAGGGGAATAAGCCGCGTAGACTCGAAGGTAGGCTGATCTTCATTTCCTGGCCGAGCGGCCGGCGCGGCAGCAGCTCGCTCGTCCATCCATCGCGTTGATGCTTCTCGTCTTCACGGAAGTGGGATGGATTTTTTGTGCTCGAGCACCTGTGCTAACCTGGCGTATCGTTTCAGTGCACGACCAATTCAACGAAGCCCGACTGTGTTGAGAAGAGAAACCCTGCGGGGCATCCACTGCTTGAAATTGAGAGGGCGGCTCTCATCCCAGAAACATACTCGGCTTTCACTTGGCGTTTGAGTCATAAGGTCAAGGTGCGCAAACAACGTGAGGTCGAACTGAAACCGTACTATCGGCCGCGGCTCACGGGATCTATCGAGCGCGGAGACGGTCTCCATGAAGACGCAGGGAAATTCATTGCTCCGATCAACGGACTCTATGTTTTCAACGCCAACGTATTGTTCAACGTCTCTTTGTCTCCTCTACAACAACAGCAGCAGACATCCCCGAGCAGGAATTCTTCCGACGGGGTCGTCATCCTCAAGCTGTGCATAGATGAAAACTGCATCACCAGCCTGTGAGTACGCGGACTGAGCCATAGCTCCGAAGAGGATCTCAGAATATCCAACGATCGTATCTGAGTTTTCATCTCCACGTTTTCAGGTCTCTGCAAGCTATGCGAGCTATTGTGCCAAACGAAAGTGTATTCACACTCAATCTCTCCGGACCCCTGAGACTCCTGGCCGGTCAGAGTGTTTCGCTTTACGTGACCAACAAGGGAAAAACATCGATTGTCCGAGTTCTGGAGGATTCTACATTCAGCGGCTATTTGACGTCATACTTCTGAACTGGGGAGCCTGAGCGCTGCGTCAGCAGATGCGGGATTCGTTCCCTGAGACGGAGATTATTTATCGCACATTTTCGGAAATTTTCGAAGCTGCGTGCTGGGAGCTGCACGCTCGATATCCGGGTCGACAAGGGGACGCATGATGCCAGAGAGGAGCGGATATCTGTACATAGGAGTCTAGTCTTCCAAACGAATGGATCAAACCTCTAGATATTGATAGTGTCTATTCGGTTGACGTTGATAATAAACTACATATCAAGACAACAATTGAAAAGAGTCACGTCTCAATTTCGACTGTGTGAAAACTCAACCATCCACGAATGCTATCTCCTCGCGGTGCTCCATAAATGGGCCCATAGCGGCGTAGAATAGCCAAAAAAACCGAATCCACGGTCCCGATAGGAGCGTCGTGATTAGACAGTCGAAAAGTGAAACCGACCGGGAGCCCGTCCGAGTCCGAGAATCAATCAACGGATTTTACGCTCGTACCCGCAGCTTCTGAAGTCGCTCTGGACGAATCATGCACATTTCGCGTGACAGGCAAACACCGAGCTCCAACTGCGGAAAAGATCAGCCCGGCGACCCCGGACGAAACACGGGGAGACATTTCCCACTCGAAGCCTGAAAGACCCTGATTCTTGGAGAGGCGTTGAGTGTCTCAGCGATTCGCCCCTTGCCGGATCTCCAGTAATTAGGGCTGAGAATTCCGAACGACATTCCTGCCTGACATAGGGATTTTCGCAGCTAAGTGAGACTCTCCATGATGGATGTCCTCGAAGTACGGCGCAAATTCGCGGAACTAGGCGCAAATTATGCAGAATCGCCAGTCCCAGTCCCAATTGATAATCATTCGACATCCATCTCTGGAGGAAATTCCCACCCGGGGGCGAGGTCTAAGCTCTTGAGATCCCTTATTGTAACAGGAGCTTGGGAGTTATTCCGATAACTCCTCGATTAGCGCATCGATCCGAACCGGGAATGATAACCTTTCAACTTCTCCATCATCACAAGGTTCATTCACTTTTCAAAAAGATTCAAACGGCAGCGATTGATAGTCTTCCGATTTTCTTTCATTGGAACTCTGTCATGAGCTCTGCTATGAGCTGCTCTGTAGCGAACGCCTACCGGAAATTTCTCTCAGAGATCAGAGCTACGGCTTATCGGAGTAGTGGTCCGGGGACGGGGGGAGGGGGAGCCGGTCAGCCCCTGTATTTCACTCGGCATACGAGATGCTCAGCTTTCGCGTGGTAATGATCGATGATTGACGGCCTCCCTCCCGCCGATCGTCTCCACGCGCCCATTTAGATAAGCGGGCATGTCCGTCGGTTGTTCGACGACAATCTGCCGCATTCTAATCATTTAGGACATCGGGTAAGAGTCCAGATGAATCCCAGGAGGTCCCGCTCCCCAACCACGGTCCTTGTCGAGTCCTTCTCGTATCCACTTCTGGCCGCCGGCGCCAGCAGCAACTCCCAGTCCGCTGAATCAGCGGGTAAAACCAAACCGCTGCTTATGGTTGGGCTGCTGGCCTGTTCGAGTGGTGCTTCTGCCGTAGAACCGAGTCAGCAACCTCCTCCCGCACGAGGACAGCTGGTGCTCGTAGAACAACTTCTGACAGCTACCGTGATATGGCTTCATTCGATAGGGTGGCTTCGATACAGCGGAAGCCTTCACTCAACGAGAGCCTGGAGCTCACTGTTGTCTAGAGTTCTTCCTCCGCCGCTTCGAAGCGCCTCTGAGCGTCCGTGTTGGTGCTCTACCGCTGTCAACAAACGCACCAAGCGGCCCACGAAACCCCCCCCAGGAGGATTACTGACTAATGGCCAGAATCAACGAGACCCTCTGTGAAGGGGAAAGACCCTGCCCTTTCCAAGGATCGCTTTGTGACATCACTCTCAAAAGGTTTGTCTCTCCGGGATTCTGCTCGACGAGCCCAACTCAGCTCTCTTGTGTGAATGGGGAGCATACGAGGGTTATTCTGAGCTGTCGATTAGGGAGATGAATGCAAGGAGAAGATCTCAGAAGCGTCGAGGGGGACGCTCGGGGACACATCCCAGAAGAAACGTTCTTGAATCGAATGAGGGCACGGGACTTCGGAGGGACGAATAGGAGTTTCAGACCTTAGAGAGAGATGCGCCCTGACGCGGGTCAGGAACGGAGGGAGGACAGCAACTCTGATAGCGCTCCTCTTCCGTCTGATTCTTCGTCCGGAACGGGGAACCGGAGACGTAGGATATATCTGGCGGTCTACCCGCGCGCTTCCTCAGAAAGGTGTGCGGCATTGCGGGGCCAATCTTAGATAAAACGATTAGTTTGTGCAGCCCATCACTTTCCATCAGTGGGCCGAAACCTTCCGCGGGTAAACACGGACGCAGTTCAGGATTTTCCATTCAGATGGGCGGTCCGCGATTACCCTCGAGACGGGTGGGCTGGAAAATCCCGTAGAAACTCTCTGACTTTCCGCGGAAGAATGCGCCGGCGCCGCAGCTCGAGGCACAAATCTGGGCATTGGGAGCGACCTCGATTGCCTCGCGTACGCCGCAATGCCCAAAATTGATCCGCTCGTTGGGGATTCCCTCGCGACATCCCTCATTGGTCCGTGCTAAGTGGGTGCGATTGATTCGAATCTTTCCAGATGTATCTGTGCAATGTCGCACGTTTACAACCACCGCTCGGACTCGTGCGAGCCGGCCTGCATGGGTCCTCACTGCGGTCTCTCTTCCTTCGGTAATTCGGCCCTGGACCTCGGAAACGCGAGCGGCTGGCCGATCACAGCCGCACACATCGCTGCGATGTTCACAGCCTGTATACTGATTTTGGCCGTTTGCCACTTAATCATACGACTCTACATGAGGAGTCGAGAGACAGCCTTTCTCCGGAATCATAATCGGGTAAGTTGAACATGGCGTCCCTAAGTCCGTCGAGAGAATTGGCCCAGGTCAAGCGATCCACGATTCACCGCGACAGAGAAGAATTGACGAGGTTCTTCCTTTGTTTCAGTCCTACCTCGAATCGCTGGTCGTGCGGGGAGCAACTATAGCCGGACCCGATGGGCCCGTCATTGCGGGAGCAGCTCCGCAATACGATAGCGACGAGTTTGACATAGCGTGTTCCAGACCACCGGGGTATTTCGAGGTAACGAGGACAACAGTGTGAAAGAACCGCGCGGAGTACGAGAGGCTCTCCGATTCCGATGCACGCGCCGCGGATCAGTGTCTCCGTCGGCGTTTCGGTGGCACAATGCTTTTGAGTCCTGAGGGAATCTATCATGGGGAATCAAATGTCGGTCCTTCAGAACTAGAAAATCGGATCTTCATGCGCGCTTCCCCGAATCGCTGATTCCGGAATCTCCCAGATTGTCGGAAAGAAGGCTTGAAGGAGTCCTCGCAGTCGAGTATAGTCTCCGCGGGCGGATTGTCGCTTCACACTTGTACGTTGCGAGGAAGCCTCGATCCGGAAAATTCTACTGAAAATATTCACGGCATCTTGAGCCGTACAACACAGCACTCCATCTCGGAGCTTGTATGGTGAACGCCCAGTCCTGAAGACTTTCCACGGATGTTACGCCGAGGACTTCACCATCATATCGACTGTCTCCCGGCGCCGCGGGCACAATTCTGTGTATACACGCCTCCGCTCCAAATTTTCCGAAATAAACCCGTAGGAGGTATCCACTACCTCATGGTGAACTTCTCGGCCATGTACAAACGGAATACTGAATTCTTCCTGGAGAATTGCTCTTGGACTAGATGGTCACAGGAGGGAGAGATCATTATCGAAGGATTTCACATTACTGACAGCGCGTCGATTCCGTCTCTCGGGTAGGTGGGAGAATCGATTCGGGAGACCTGAGCTGACCGAATCATTATAATGAGTGACGAGAATGAGATCTCCATGAAATGGTCTAACGTCCTTCCGACGAGTCATCTCGCATGTGTGTAAAACCGTTTCGAATGTATATCGCTGAAAGTGTCGATGAGAAGATACGTTTGCTTTTTTCTCAGGTCAAAAAAATTGCAATAAAGACTGCCACATTTCACAGAAATATTCCCGTTCCGTCTCTTTGCTTAGGGGGATTCTCAGCTGGGATAATTAAGAGATCTGCTGTCAACATCGATCTCTGCTCCTCCATCTTTTGTCCTTCGCCGACGATCTCACTCAATCCAGGATGCGACTTTCATCATGCATCATCATGTGCAATCATTGATGTCATCTTTGTCAGAGCGTCCGAGGAGGTCAAAATTAACTTCGGGGTAAATGCGAGAGGATAGGATTATCATAGATTCAGAGTTCCGAAGGAGCTAGCCGCCCAGAGAGCGAACTTCCCCGGGGGCTCCCGACCCGGACACCTATCCTGCGATGAACCTTCAATTTCCCCTCTCAACCACGACGGCAATTCCTTGTCGAATGAAAATGACCGCCCCAGGATCCCCGTCCAAAGTCCGAATTGGTCAGTGACGCCATCATCCATGTTTTTATCAATTATTGCGACAGTGGGAACTCAGGCTTCGGTGGTTTTTCACTGTTCACACGGATCTGCATCGCAGTCTACGCAGGGACTATCCTGACGCGTTCCCAGGCGACGTTGTCGAAGCTCAGTCGACGGTCCGGAGAGAATACTTGAGATTTGTCCACAGTCGTCTTGGGTCTCAACTCTCAACTCTCCTCCCATCACTCGGAGTGGATGGAAGAGTCGGCCCTTTCCCCGCGAGTCCCTTTCCTCCAAAATGGCGACCATTCGCACCTGATCTTTGTTGTGGGCTTCTTGTCTGGGGACTCGGATTCAATGTTTCCCAGTTTCGTGATCCTCTAGTCGACTCTCGGTCACGGAGCTCCCGCTCCACAGACCTCCAGAGTTCCGTCGTCCAGGTAATGCCCCTACGCTGCTCTCTCCGATGAAGAACCTTACAACGAGAAAGAATACGCGGTCTTCGAAGGACGATCATGTATCTGGAAATTGACAACAAGTGATCGGAGTTTCTCTGGGAAGAAAATGCACGAGGGCTGTCGGGTCCCAACCCGGAACGTCGTGTCAGCTTGCTTGGGGGTTCTCGTGATCACTACGCTCTGCGTTTCCTTATTCCACCCGAAGTGGTTCTTCCTAACAGCCTTGGGCAAGGGACATGGTCTGCCTCCGAGTCAAACCTCATATTACATCGGCGTACAGAACTGGTTCCATCCTCCAGTGCATCGATGTGCCAGCAATCATGAGGTGAAGTCGCTCCAGAGCGTCATAATTGTCGTAACTTGTCTGGCTCTGCTGAATTCGTTGACGCAATTCCTGATGGATGCCTGTGATGTGGACATCTTGCAGTTCCGACGCAACGCAGTGCCTTCGGTGATTTCAGTGATCCTTTGCGTGGCTTGTATCGGGCTCGCTTACCATCTTTCGTGCGTGTTGACGAGATGCACGGCAAATGCAGCGGTGCAGGTGTCATTCGCCTTGTCCTACTACCTCCAGGCCTTATCCGGAGTTCTGGCGACTTTCGTGGCTGGAGTCAATCTCGTCGTGCCACCGTCTTCGAGGTCGCGTCGACAAAACCTTCTTATGTACGAGGGCGGCTCCGAAAACGATTGGCCCCCTCTTCCGCCGTATACGCCTTGAGCCTCGCGAACGATGGAGATGAGTTCGTACCTCTCGAGGGAGCGAAATCATCCGAACGGCGATGATTTCAACTTCGACCAAAGGAATTCCAAAAAAACTGAAGCAGCACGTCGATGACGTCAAAACGCAACAAGTTACTCCCGAGCAAGGACTCTCCTGCACTTGCAACATGTCTGGTCGTAAATCCCATCCCGCATCGAGTCTAGCCGTCGGGAGGAAAATCGTGAACCAAAGAGTGTTTGAAGAAAGCAGAGGAGAGATGCCTTCTGGCCCGCACTGCCAGGGATGACATTTCAAGAAGTATACAATATCTGTAGAGTGGAAAATTGTGGAAATAGATATTTGCACCTGGAGGCTAGACCGCGACTCATAGCACAACAATCCATCGGAGCCGTATCGAAACGGATTTCGTCAACTCTGTGTGCCCTCATCTCACCGTCTCGCTCAGTCACCGATTACGAGCTCACGCACTGGAGGAACGACGAGCTCTTTTTCCCGGATTTCAAATTCCCGTGAGATTCTAAGCGGCATCTCTCCAGAGAGGATTCCGGATTCTACGAATGAGAGGACATGCTGATTCGTTGAGTCCTTTCTGCGGGAACTCCGGTACCTGACCGTTGTGGGCGTCTCCTTCCACAAGACTACATACCAAAAGATTTTTTTCTTGCTGGACATGTTCCTTCAGAGACTCATTTACCTCTAATCATGGTAGGAACGTCAAATCTAGTGATGTAGCTCTCACCGTGAAATTGATTCAGAGTAGTCTGGCCGTTCAATCATTCAATGTGCAAATCATTACAGAATGGCTCCATGAATCACGCTCCCTACTGCTCCGACTCAGTTTTCGCTCGAGATCGTTGTCATTTCTTCTCTTTGTTTTCCCCCCTCACGGTCACAGTAAGGAATTGTTGCGGGACATACCGATCTTTCCCTGTGAATGATAGCATGAACGTGCAATTTTAACGGCTTACCTAGCACCTAGCAGAATGCTAACTAATATATACAATATACATATATACCTACGAGCTGAATATTTAAGGAGCTCTTCGCAGGAATCAACATCGATTATCCTAGGTAGTTCCCTGAATTTCATTACCGCGTAGCCACTTTTTCATCAAATCACGATTGCTGTCTGATGGAATAAATATTGTACGTCCAAACCAAAGGTACCCGAATTCTTCTTCGTGTGAGAGCTGAGGGTATGTGAACCAATCTGTGGAGCGCTTTGTGTTGTTCCGAAGATGGTCGAGTTTAGCGGGTACCAGCCAACAGCGGAACCTGCAACCTGACGAGTCTCTCGAATTCAACATCGATATCAGGGAGGAAGAAGCGTACAACGAGGCCTAGGTCGTTGTCTTCGTCTCCGGCGACTCCGGAGGATACCGAGGAGGAGATCGAGAATCAAAATCTTTCAGGCGGTCCGATTTCTGGCCGGCTCGCGAAGATTGGGACTTGTTGTTGCTCTCGTTAGGAGGAACAGCCCCACCGACACGGACGTCTCGCGAGAGCCCCAAGCGGGGCTTCAGATCGTGGCACAGCTGTTCCCGAGAGTCCGTTTCGCTACCTCGCACTCGAAATTCGAACAATCTGACGGCTCCGACCGTTCGAAATCCGAGATATCCCTTCGGAGTACTGCATTCTGCTGGATTGTACGGCGTGCAATCCTGCAGAACCATGATTGCATGCATGCTCTGCTCAAGCATACACTCAACGTTTTCTACCGCCCGCCCCAGAAGTTTCTCCGATTACTCTAAATGAATCGAAGAAGGGAGAGTGTCCCGGCGACCCGGCTGTCCAAAATATCCGGATAATATACTGAACGCTCGAGAAGGTTCTCATCAATTCAAAGCGGTCCAGGACAGGAATGCCCCCGCCAGCAGAGTCAAGCAGCGATCCTCAAGCACTCACCACTCACCACCCAAGGCGATGCGACGCCATGACGCGCCGTCTGTATGATGTTGCGCGCGTCGAGAGGACATTCAATTCGAAGAAGCGAGAACACTCGTGCTTGATTGAGTTAAAATAATTACATTTTATTCTGACATTCAGCATTGCCTGATCTATCCCGGGAGAATTCAGAGGTTTCATTTCGGAGTCGTTCTGTACTAAATTAGGAAGGGCGCTTTGAATGCGAGGTTGCTCAGGACGCAAAATTTTGTCGGTACAGCGAAATCTCGGCACAGCGAACCGCATGGCAGCGGCTGAATCTGTTCGGTATGATGGATGGTCGTTGTAAAGAGAGCATCTAAGCATACACTTTCCCCAAGTGTATATTATATCGAGTCGGATTTCGCCCCATTTGTCAAGAATTCGTTGTATCGGCGTCCGTTTTGACGAAATTTTACTGTACATCGAACACTCCAGAATGTTGCGACGCTTGTGCGTTTCTCATTTTCGCTTGACAATTCGCCCTTTACAGACGTCATTTTGGAGGAGAACACCGATCGAGAGCGTCCGATGAGAATCACCGAAGAAGACAATACACGAGAACGATTACCTGTCACTATATTTTCTATAAATATCCACCTCGTTTCATAGAGAGCTTGACATGTCTCCTGTCTGAGATTCCTTTTTAAGAAGAGATAGAATCGACAATGAATTTCCACGAGTGCTCATCAAAACTCAGAGGCGCTCCTGAAAATCCTTGGAGGCTTCGATTTTCGGGGGGAAAGAACCAAAATCACGAAGATTTCCCCCATGAGAGGCCTGAGAAAGGTGACCACCAACAAGTCCTGCTACAGGCTAAGGACCATGTCTCCTCATTCCTCTCGCTCTCGGTCAAGACTGGCGACCTCGCATTCAATTGCGCACCGAGACCTCTGCAGGATCGCGGCCGTATTACACAGATATTTGGTGATTCGTGTGGACCCTGAATGGAGAGAGAGACAGCGGAAGCTCCCACAAACGAGTACACAATGAAATTCGTAGTAACAGGGTTTGATTCCCTGGAATTTGAGAGTTCCGCTGGCCGCATCAGGCTGACGCATCGGAAAAAAGAGGAGCGTAGAGTTGAGATTGGCCTAGGTTGGTTTTCAAGATTCCCACTGCTGGCGTGTAATTTTTTCTGTACTTCTGGTCGTGTTCTCTTCATCCTTTCGGAGGGTGATGATGGTTCGCAACCGCCTGCATGAACCTGTGTGTGTTTCCCCATGGTAATCATCATCATCATCATCATGTATATATTCGCCTTATCTAAGTGGAAAATGTTTACACTCGAAACAGGAGAACTTTTCATACCTTCAGATCTATCGTAAGAATACTTGATATGCTCGTCAAGACATCCCTATCTTCGCGCACGAAACCGCAGCGACGAGAAGAATCAACATTTTTTTTCGTACATTTCCGTAACTAGGTTGCTTCGTGGTGAAGGAGGTGGTATCTGTGGTGTTTGATGATTTTTCAAGTCATGGGACCGAACGCTGGCTCGCCAGAAACTACGGACGAACTTTGCAAATGCTTCTGACCCTCAGCAACTAGACTTCTTAACCTTCAATTCCATAAACTTATTAAAGAGTACCATATATATTTGAGAGTCTGCGACGCGTTCCTGCCGAGCTGTTCCACGCTCCACCAGGTCTCAGAACCAGCGCAGAGTTGGGGACCCGCCCGATCGACAAGGTTCCAAATCAGGCGCCCGACACACAAGCTCAACAGAGGTGAGCTCGATTCGGGCGATTTACCGGAAGAGGAATTCCCGCGCAATTTACAGTTCTCCGCACGGATCCAATCAACCATAGACCAAGAGATCGGAGATCGGAAGCGTTCCGCGACCGCGAGAATGACGCGGAAGGGGAACCACCTCCGCCGCGCCGAGGAGACACAAGATCGAGCGGCGGTCCGAAACGTCTCCTGGACTGTCTTGAAATAGGCATTTAAAATTTGAAGAGACTTCAGTCTTATATGCACAATATGGATTCCATATTTGTTTCCCTATTTTGCCGGTGCATCTGCTATCCGTCTATTGGGATACATTGGCCATTTGGTGCGGCGGTGAGATTTTGTGGGTCATTCGATTCAAGGCGAATCGATTCTCCTCTTATCGTAATTGGCGGCAGCAGCTGCTTTTGCTCTCGATGCCATCTCCTCATTCGCTGAATGTGTTGAACATCGTGAGTTCTTCGAATGATGCACCACCTCCTTGATCTAACATTTGCAGCATGTCAGACAACTCCTGTCCCTGTGGGTTGCCTCCCGCGCCCGCCGCGTTCGCCGCACCCGGTGCTTGCGAAGCTGCTGATGGCGGATGTGCGGGAAGCGAGGAAGGAGTACTCTGCTCAGGAGTACTTGCTCCACCGGCCGTTGCTGCCGCTGCAGAGGCAGGGGTTGTCTGCTGCCACTGGCTCCACATACCTTCAAAGGAAAGGAAAACGTCATCTGTTATCTCAATGAATTCTTCCGTGGCTCATATGAGGCTGTGAGATGGATAGGCATGAGAATGTTTTCGAAGTTTCATTCAGGTCTGGCTAATGGATGAAAATCGATGCCTTCGGTCAAAGGTCAGCGATATTTCACCAAGGGATCAAGGGAAGGGAGGTCGGGTGAACCGAGGAGAGTTCAAAACAGGGGCCTGTTCCAGACCGTAAATTTCCGAATTCGGAATCTGTCGCAAAGAGCGACCCGGAGCAGAGCACAAAAAATCGTAGGAGCCGAATTCGCTCACTCGAAGAAACAAGTACATAGATTGATCGGTCCCCCGATTCAAGGGATGGGGCATTAGGGGCGATGATGACCAAGATGAAGATGGATATGTCCAAAAAATTCACCTCTAGAAGGCGCCGTCGAAGGCGCTAACTGCGTGTACGTAGGAGCATTGGGAGTCTGTTGCTGCTGTTGCTGACCTGGAGAATTTTGTTGATTGGGTGACAGAGCGTTGTGAGGATAGTTGGGGGTTGTTGGATGAGGTGACATTTGGTTGTTGCTCCCGTTGTTGTTGTTATTGTACTCGGACACGGGCGTGCTGGAATGGGAATTCGTTCCTGGACCACCTCCAGTTCCTCCGGTCGGGTATGAATACGTCGGTCCGGAAGGAGGTCTCGACGGTAGCCTCATGATCGACGGATAGCTCGAACTCTGCTGGAGACCGGTCGAATACTCCCCGACTTGAACGGGGCCACTCTCCGATTTCAGTAGGCCGCCAACTGGCTGATAAGCGCCGTCGGTGACCGCAGGTGTTGTATTACTGTTCGCTACATCCGTGACGTCATGCCCGTGTACCGTTCTGCGAAGCGGGGAAGTTCAGTAAGTTTCCATCTCTAGAATACCTCTCATTGAGGGGGAGCATACGCTCTTTCCGAAATTTGAGCAATCGACGTCATGCTATGTTCTCAGAAACTTGAGCGTGAGTGCTCGAGTTGAACTCACTTCACGGCGATATTCGTACAGACGGTGTATTCCACGTCATTGGTGTAGGGATTTAGGAATGCGTAAGACGACGTGCGCAGCCACAACCAGTCTCGGTTTGCCTTGGTGCGGAATCGGTACATTATGGAGACCGGTTGACCCTTGGCTTTCAAAACTTGCTCGAAATGGTCCTTCATGTGCGCCTGCTCTTCAGGATGACAGTAGTCGAAGCATGACTTCCCCAGTAACTCTTGCGGCTGATAACCTAGAATGTTCGACACCCGTTGGTCGACAAAAGTGAATTTGCCGTCAAGGGAGTGCCGAGACAGGAACTCGTTCGACGAATTCGAGCCCATGAGATCGGCATTGTTTGGAGTTGAAGTGACTTGCAGCCTGCCAATGGCTACGAGACAGCAATGGGATCCGCCACTTCCGAGTTCGTCGTGATCTAGTCGATCTGAAACAAGAGGGATCTCCTCATGAGTTCATCGAGTACGGACTCGTGCGTGGATCGGACATGGGTCGGTCTAAACGAGGATGAGATGATGCTGAACGGTCGTCCGAGCGATGAGTGGGACGCAAGAACGGCGTCGCCTTCCACTCCTCAATCTCGTTCCGTCGCGTCGGGGGAGAGGAAGAGAGAGGGGGGAGTTGCGGGGAAGGAATACTCACTGCCTGAAGGTGACCAGTTCTTGATGTAGCCGGTGCAATGGACGACGGCGTAGTTGTGTTGACCCCCGTCGACCGCACCGGGCCCGAGTACACTTCGGTGACGATGCTGACGCAGTAGAGGATCATGAGGTGAGGTCATTAATGGCGAATTTCCTACTTTCATCCGGCAAATGAATCCGCGTCTTGAACCCATGCATAACCGCATAGACGACTGATGACCCTCCTTCTTCACGGTGCCTGTCTTCAGATCTAGAATTCGTCCGGGCGATGAACTGTCCTGCGTAGCCAATTGCTCTCGCACTTTCTCCACATCGTCGGGGTGCACTAGATCGTACAGACATGCATTGAACCAGTCGGATTGCGAATGAGACAGAACTGGTCCCACCGAATCCGACACATAGACGACCCGGCCCGTGTCGCAGGAAACCACAAACAGAAATCCGTCGGCGGCCTCGAGAATCAGGTGCTTCAATTCCTGATCTGTCAAAAACGACGGTTTGTAAGTTCCGTCGCTCGACGTATTCCCTGTCCCTGAAAAGAGAAAATCAACGGTCAGCCGAGTGGCATGCAGCTTCTATGAACACAGCGACGGACTCCCCCGGTCTCCAAGCCGGACGCTGTATCGCCATGCGCGCGGAAATATCTCGAACGGCTCCTAAATACTTCCTGACTCTTTTCAGACTACCTGGAATTCCCGACCGAGTATATAAGTGCTCCCTCTCGGCTTGCTCACGATGAGAATATCATCATCTTCTCTTCTCAGCTCTTCAATTATTCACGCCCGAGCCTCCGTTCGCTCGGCCTTGCAGAACCAAGATAGAGAGCGAAAGAGAGACGGCTACGGAGCCATGAGATCTCTGGCAACCGGCTCCAGGTAGATGAGTGGGTGAGCACGCGAACCAGAGCTGTATTTACTAGCGCACTGCTACGCTGATCGTATATATGGTCGACAGACAAACGGACCAAGCCACAGAGCAAACAACTGAACCGCTGCTCGAGTATGAGGCTTTTTCTGCCTCGACCAAGCTGGAACGGAGAATGCACGACAGGCTTGGCGTCTGCGAGCAGCGAAGATGAGTGGGAGATGCAGTTCTCCGCATCGCTGCGCGACTCGTACTCCAGGGGAGCAAGTGCGAGCCCGCCGCCGCTTATAATTATTCAAAAAATAGCCGAGACGCGACTCCGACGACCTCAAATCTTTTACGGATCTCACAATCAGTGATACTTGACGCCAGTGTATCTGAATAAATCGTCAGAAGCTCTTACGGATAGCGCTCAGGCGTCCCGCGATCGAGGAACACTCCGAACGGCTTCGGCGAAGCCAATGGCGAAGTCCGAGAGGCTCTCTCACGGAAATCGCAGTTAATATATCGATATCGACCATGTGGACCACGAGGTGTCTCCGTCCCATTCATTCGCTTGCCTGGGAATATGGGCAGTATTTGCCCATGGTGAAAAGCAACAATAATAGCGGGCAGGCCGCCGAATAATTTGCATCCCCACTCGCCATCTTCACAAGTGGTTCATGGGCTTTATGATGGGAGCTATAAATAGTAATGGCTTCGGAGCTCGCTGGCCGGCTCCTATGCCGAGGCTATTCCGTTTCGCTCGATGGATTGAGCTCCATCGCTTTTGTGCACCTCAACTCGGCGCTCGGGCTAGATGGACTCAGGATATTCATTTATTTTTCGTTTTCATTCGCTCTATGAATGCCTTCGTCAAGTTCTATGGTGGCCACGAAAACTGCGGATCTCAAAAAGGCGTTCGGATCTTTCGATTGAGCGCATCGAGTTCCCAGCGGGAGTGAGGGAGGAAAACCGGAGGCAGCCGTGAGGAAAAAGTCCTCGACGACTCTACGAGGATCCGAAACCGGAGTCCGTCCGTCCGTCGCGTCGGCGGGTTTGTCTTTCGAGGATTCGATCGGTACCTCTGTCTCAGAGTGAGCGCTCCTCCGCTGAGCGACTTTCACCCAACATTTGCTGCTAAATTGAATTACCCGCCAGCCGCCGGCCCGACATCATGCGTTGCCAAGGTTCCCCCTTCCCGGACGCAAGGCGAAATCCACTCTTGCCCCGACGGTAGCAATGGAGAAAGCATTCAGGAAATCAAGGGATTCGTCCCCAACGACAGAGCCTTTCTTCCCTCCGGTTCCTTTTCGAGTGTTCGACTCCTTCTTTCACTTCTACCTCCCCCCCCCCCCCCCTATCCCGCTCTCACCCCCACCGGGAACGAAAACATTGAACTGATACATTAGTCCAGCCTCACGTCACGGGGCGAGTTCTGCGCAGTCTTCGGAGCATCGGCCGAAAGTTTTCTCTTCTCTGTCCGAAAATTCCTGTATGGTCGGAATCGTATCCTTTCCCAAATGAATAGATGAGGATTAGTGCTAGAATTACAATCTCGGGACGATGGCGAGTAGCAAGTAATCGAGGCACGGAGCCGCTTCCACTCAGAAGTTCACTTTCTCTCTCGAATTTCTTTCCTGAGCTATTTCGTTCCGCTTCCCGAGATCACGACAGGCGGAAAAAAGTCTGCGGCGGCAATTATAAGTTACGTCACGCTAACGAGAGCAGCGGCGGAATATTCATCACTGATAATGATCGATGCGCGCGGGTATTTCGACAGCATCACTCAGATGACGAGGGTGAAAATTCCGGTCATAAGCAAAACGGATTCGCCTCTTTTCTCTCTCCTGGCTCATCGACACTCCACTGGGCGTGAGATTCTTTCACCCGATCAACTTCAGTTTCCCGTTGATAACGATTGTGTCGACGTCGACGAACGTCATGTGGATGTTGACGGTCTTCCGTTCGACGGGGTCAGCTTTCATCAGTTTCGTAAGACACGCGTGACAGCCAACGTGACTGACACGCTCACAATGGCGCATTTTCCGACCCAATCGACTGCTCGGCTGAACCATCGGCTGAGCCGTGCAGATCCATTCTGCTGAGGGAGCTTCATTGAGGGGCTCAAAATTGGAATTTTTTTCGTGGCCCTTCCCCTTATTTCGTCGATTTCGTCGATGGCTGGGTCTCGGGTCAACTGGGAGAACTCCCATCTACTTGCAGCGAGTGGTCGGGGAGCCCCCGAGGAAGGAGGAAGCCGGAAAGCCCGCGGACCCACAGCCCCTCCACTCTGCTACTAGCTCAGCAAGACTTCTCACGGCTCCTGGTCACGCGAGTCTCCGGTAGTCGGGGGACTAGCCACAACAACGACGACCGCCACCAACACTAGGAGGACTGCCTCTCTCAAAACTACCGCGGCCGCCATAGGAACCGCTCTCGCTCCTGTCTCGCTAATCGCTTGTCTGTGCCACGACAGAGAGAAAGGAAACGCTCAGGGGGCTTCGCTCCCGCGGCGGACGATCGAATGTAAGTGCAGCGTACTGACCTCTCAGGGACTTCATGTGGGCGACAGCCATGCGCAGGATGGTCAGCTTGTCGGGCTTCCTCGCTAGGGCACTGCAGGTCGGAACCATGTCAGAGAGTTCCGTGATGTAGGCGGTCATCTTGTTGCGCCGTCTGCGTTCGATCTCACTGTGGTTTTCTTTTTGGCGGATAACGTCTCCATGAGGTCGGCCCCCGATCCCTCGGACCCGCCTCGTCCTGTCCCCGTTCCGCCAGCTCCTACCAAACCCCCACCTACTAGACCCCCTCCGAGTCCAGCGGATACACCGAGACCGTCACCGGAGTCCCAAAGACCTCCGCCACCTTGACTCAATCTGAAAATCGAAGAGAATTATTAAGCTCCCTGCGTCGATAGGCTTGAAAACGGAAAGCCATCGCTTCCGTGATGAAGCCCCAAACCAAGCTACGGGAGCTTCTGCGGAGGAAGGCTCTCGTACCTTGCGTAACGGTCCTTCTGTTCGTGCATCGAGTCCTCGTCCATTCTGCTGTATTTGATGTCGGCGTCCTCCTCATCCGAGCTGCAAGGAAAAGACGCCTCGTTCAGTCTTCGATAATGATTTGCAATGTTCCGCCATCGAGACTGTCGCTGTTACGCCAGATCTGACAGAGACGGATTCGTTTTTGATCTGCAAAGGAGGTTCTGTATCGATGCGATTCTCTCCCTCTACAATATGAATACCAGCTGGAATGGGCGCCCCAACAAAATCACGGATGGCCGAATCGTGCGTTCTCGGCTCGACGAGCCAACAAACGAGCAGGTCGACACAGGCAGGCAACCAGTTTGACCAGAAATCAAATTGGCAAGCATCTTCCTAAATGCCAAACGGAACTCTTGTGATCGAGAACTTGAAGACAGGTGGTACCTTGCCGGTCAAGTTGTGCTTCGCTGCTGCCTACGAGCTCCGCCGACTTGGGTAAATTTGAAGATGTTTGAAGACCAGCGCTGTTCAGGACCAGCGACGGGTGAGACCTAAATTGGCCTTCGGAATGCCATTCTCCGCATGGCGGTAATTTCGACTCAAATTCCTGCCAGAATTTTAATTTTGTCCAGGAAGTTACCCCGAGTCTCGAGATTTATCTCTCCGGCTCACCGCAGCGCGGCAATCTCGTGCCGGATCGTTATAATCATTCGGTCTTTTCGAAGCCGCGTGATCTAGCCCAAGAATGTAGGTGATGGACACCGTACGAAAATCCATCCAGCCGTCTCGATGTTATTCACGCGCGATCGGTGTTTACAACTTGAACAGCGGTCCATGCCCATTGTCGACAGCGCTCCGAATAGATCTTCACTGGCCACGACAACGACGAAGTCACCGGCCGGAGATAGGGACAAACGAGAGGGAACAAAAGCGAGCATCTCCGCTTCACGTAATGAGCCTTGCCGGGGAACGGGAGCAGTTTTAACATGAGCATCATAATCATCAGCGAAAAGAAGACGACTGAATAACCATTATTTATTGTAAACAATAGCGGCTCGAAACAGAAATACGAGGAGGCGAACCGAAACTGACGGTGGAGGATCGTCCCTCGATCGTAATTACTTGCGTCGGGTACGTTTCTGAGACAATAAAACCGGGGAAAATGAATCTCGCTCACATCAGACGGGAACTCTCAGTATGAATTCTACACGGGAGGAGCAAATTCAATTCTCTGAGAATATCATCCCCGAGGATTTCCTCCTTTCCCTTAGACGGAGAGGTCCTCCTAATGTCCAATTGTGCTCCGTTCACACCTGAGATTCCGGGCTCCATCTCTATGTATGAGCGAGACCATTACATAAATCTACGGAAGCTCGAATTCATTTCCCGCGGAGAGTCACAACGCCCACCATCTGTTTGCGGGGGCCGATTGAACAAGATGTCCGTATATTGACTCGTCCTTTCAGACCGGATGCGAGCGTTTATGTTGTTGTTGTTTTTCAGCACACCTAGCAGGGAGTTCGGTAACGCAGAAATATCGCCCGCGCGACCCTATCAAAGGCACCCGTCATCGCTTGCCCCACTCAAAGGGGAGCATTCGACGGATTATGTAAACTGAAAGCGAGCATGATTATGCACGGGTTCGGCTGTTCCCCATTCCTGTTTCTGCTTTCGCAAGAGCATCCTTCTCTGATAGCTCCAGCATGTTGAGCAATTCACCCGGACTCGATCCGGTGTATTCACACGTCAATGTCTCGATCAGCGTGTCGCTCAGTGAGGAATGTTCTCGGCCTGTCCGGATCCAGTTGCTCGCCATTGATCAGATTCTTCGGAACGTATATTTTGTTACGATCGTATTGAGATAACCGCCCTCGTTTCCGTTCAATCGGATATATCGGGTACCGGAGAAAACGATAGGACAGGGAGATGTCCGTCGATTCTTTCCAGTCTTTGTCGGTCTGAGATCGTCGAGCACAGCCGTTTCATGACAAACATGTTGCTCCGAGCAAGTAGAAGAGATCACCGATGCGACAAACACATCCTTAAACAGCACTGGTCACGAAAGTCTCGTCATACCTGAAGCGACCGGTGGAACACGTGAGAAAGCCTCTCTCCATATTGAGAAATTCTATCAGCTCCCTTAACAATCAGTCAGAAAAAGCGCGCCGGCGGAATATGGGAAGAAAGTGTAAATGACACCCAAGCGAGAATGAATGGATGGAGAGAGAACGCAACGCCGCGATTTGTCCGACAGAAAAGAAAACATGATGCTAGGACTTTTTTGTCGTTTCTAAGGAGATGTATTCCACGCATGAGGTGTCGACTCACTGACACCCATGCAACGGGAGCGTTAAAGCGCGAACCGCATCGACAGTGAACATTGGCAGTAATCATCGAGATCTCTCGGAGACTTTGCGAGGCAGAAACATTCAGTCATGGAAGCCGCCGACTAATAAGATTTATTTCCAGTGTGAACCAGATGAACGGAACGAAAGCAGTTGCAGCCGTCTCGAAACTGAAGGAGGCGCCGGGCTCCACTTGCAAGCGTCCGCGTTCCTCGTTCCGAATAATTACCGGCACACGTAGTTGTAACGAGTTAATTCATTCGCGCGCCGCACACAAACCCATCCTCTCAGGAGCATCAATTTGCCACCGCCGTAATTCCGAGCGGCTCAGGAGAAACTGCGCTCGCGGACGATTAATTTCACGCAGTGCCGAGCCACAGATAAACAAATCGTTCGGCTCATGATTCTGGGAGGGAGTCCGCTTCTCCGCAGAGAAAGCCATGAATGACGGATCTGTGATCTCTCGGAGGAATTCGACACGACGGGAGAGGCTCAGTGACGGAGTTTTCCCTGTAAGATATTTGTAGGTACTTCGTCTCAAGTAGGCTATCGGAGCCCAGCTCTCGTGACAAGTCTCATTCAAAGACGTCTCAATGTTCGACCAGGGGAACCAGACGGACACGGCGTAGTGTTCAATGAAGCCACATGTGGGTCGAAATTCGGACACCGGGATCGAAATACTCATGGAGCGCATTCCGGCGAGGGGATCGGACAATGATTCTGCGACTTTTCTCTCGGCCCTTCCGATCGATATTCTCCGAAAAAGAGATCGATCGCAGAGTTCGGAACGGCGCCAGCGGTTGATTTTTCCAGCCAGTATGCAGCGGGATACGTGACACGCCGAACCCGTATCGGACATCGTATGGACACAATCGGCGGCGAGCCCCTCGGCAGGCCAACTTATCCGATCGTCCATAAAATGAGTGTCCAGCCCGAAGCCCCTGGAGCCGTCGAGAGTGATTTCGAAAACTGAACCGGAGTCGGATTTCCGAAAAACGAAAGCAGAAGAGTGAATATACAGATTCCTGGAAACCTTTGGATCCGGTGCGATTGCCGCCGTCGCGATAGAGACATGGCCTCGATTTTCAAGTAGCAGCCGTGAATCCACAATCGCTCGATCGCCACTTTCACGCAATTCGTTCGAAAACCCGCAGCTAACCATCGTTTGTGGGTTTGTTAACCTATCTTCATTCGACGATTGTACGGGTTTTTATCGTGCGCCCGGGCTAGAATGCATGGCTGCTTTGTTTGTGGCCTAGCTGGCTGTTAAATAGTTCGGGAAAACGGTAAGCCGTCGTTCATTAGAGGTATTGCCTTCCACTATATGGAAGCGCGCTACGGCGCCGGCGGGCGCGCGTACGCGCCGAACAGAAGTAGCTAATCGGCCCGCCGGTCGGACGAACGATGGGTCGGTCGATTGCTTGGTCGTTCCGTCTGTGCGTCCGTCCGTTCGTCTGTCTATCCGGCTAGCTAGCTGGCTGGCTGGATAGATGAGTAGAAACGTTCGATACAGACAGGCGAGCTGCTGTGCCTTATCAAACGGGGTTATCACTTCGTTGCTCGACTCCTCTCGTATACCATTCGCGGACTCACGACAAGGTACGCTTACCGCCCGCCGGCCTGACCGCTCGAGTTTGGGTCGCAGTTTGTGGCAACGCTGTCCAGCGACAAACTTAGGCTTGCCGAGCAACTGCGGCAGAGGGCAAGCTTCCCGAGCCCGGGTCGGAAATCGACGACCCTACTCCGGGCTGAAGATCCTCGTCGCAGTCCCGACGGGAATTTTCGCCAACACACCGAGGCTCGACGTCCAACGAAAATTATTCTCCGATGCTCCTCGTACGACTCGTGGTGAACTTCGAAGAACGGAATCGAAACTCGAGAGCCTCGGACAAGAGAACAGCGTCGTACAGATGCTTCCATTCAAGCCCATATAAACTCTCCAAGCATCGCGCTGAGAAAGGAAACGACCATTTTGGAAAATGTTCACGTCGTCTGTTTCTCAAGTCGTTCTGATGTCGAATCACTGTTTCACATCTGAATTTCCCTTCGGCCATCAGCTTCCCCGACCGACGGAGCGTGCATAGACGACGACGACAACAACCACAATGGTACCGGCGGAGTCGGATGACGATTACGGTGCAGCGGGAACCTCCGTAAAGAAATCTCATCGACTGACTGACTGACAGAGTCCAGGACGAACGATTCTTGAGGAGATACATGGAACATCTATTGAGAGCTCCGGTCGTATCGTCGTTCATCCCGCGGGATCCGTCGGGGTTGAATCAGCTCTTGCTGCGCGAGAGAGACTTCCGCCGCTCAGGACAAAGGCTCGGGTAGTTTCTGTCGATGAGGAAACCTGAATGTTTGTCCATTGGACCCACCTGGGATCTCGGTACTCCGCTAGAGTTCCGTATCCGAGAAAAAAGAGCCCGAACGCGGGAAATCTCTCTGGATCTATTGTCGTCGTCGAAATCTCCTCAGAATCAGCTACATTCTCAAAATCTACGAGCGGAGCAGGCCGAACCCACACAACTGCGTGAGTCGTGACAGATCCTGAAGGATTGTATTGCGCTGTAGCGGTACGAGAGCAACTTCACTTGGGCAAGATAGATATGGACAGGCTGAACGAGCGGCCATGATACGTTCTATGCAGAGCTTTCCGGGACGGGGGCCTTTTCCTTCTGCGAGGGAACAAACTAATTCGAGGGAAAGCCTCG